CATATCAAAAAACATAAATTGATCCATATACATTTTAAAGATATTTAATATCTAAAAATGTGTAAATTTAAATTTATCAAACATACATGTTTGAATTTACCTATATTCATTGTGTAGTTTTACACAGTAAGAAAAAAGTATTTCATGAATCATTTAAATTTTAAACTATGTATCATTATAACTAAAAACAATTCAGAATCAAAACGAAAAAATATAATTCTGAATGAATAATAATAATAACTATATAATGAAAGCAAATTTTGAAACATCAAAATGTTTATAGTATTTAGTAACCCTTAAATAAATTTTAATAAAACAATTAAAATATAAATTATATAAGATTTAAAATTTATAACTTAATTTTTTTATATAATTTTTAAATATTTGAAAAAAAATCGATTTTTCAAAGCATCTTTTTTTTAATTTTTATATATTAAAATCATTATAACAGAATTTATCAAATTATTTTTTAACATAATGTACTTGTATCATGAAAAAATCAGTAAATTTCAATATAAAAAATATTCAGGAAAAAAATTTACATTTCATTTGATTATACATTCAATGCATTATATTTAAATTTATTGCAAATATTCACTCAATTTTCATAAAAACAATGTATATAGATTAAATTCACAAGTTCTAAAATGTAATAAATTATCCTACAATTTTGCATCGATCATATGCAAGTAATAAATTAAATAAAAAATATCATTATTCTATCATTAAAAATATCAATATGTCAGAAGATCATGATATCACTAATATTTTGCAGAATTAATGATTGTGGAGACTTTTTTCATAAAACGTATTATAATGGTGTATCTTAATATCAACACATATTTCATGTAAAACTACATTTTTTTGTTTATAAATGTTATTATTTCATGTTCCATTTCAAATGTGTTGATATCTATTATTGTCATAGAATAAATTTCGTAACATCAAATAAAAATTGGTTAAATACGTCAACATTAATTGTTACATAATGTACTTTTGATTTTTCATACAAACATATTTCAAAGGATAAAAAATAATCACCCAGAACATTGTGATTTAGTCATGATCATATAAATAACAATTTATTAATTGATATCGATTGCAAGCTACTACAATTGACATATACAATCGAATTATTCAAAATTTATGTTACGTTTATAGAAGTAAATGCATATGTCAAGATGGCTTAAACAAAATTTAAGACAAATTTGATGACTTATTACTCAAGACGATTCAATGTTGATAATTAATTCTCAAATTTGTAAAATATATTTCAAAATAATAATAAAAAGTATATTGTGCCATAAAGTTTGTATAAAATAAAGAATTCAAAAGATCCAGTAGTATGTTATGATTTTATGAAAGTATCAATTTGATAATGTGATAAGGTCTAGTGTTTGTGTATCTGTGCATTTGTCCCAATTTGTAAATTAAAAGACAAACTTTATGCATGTATTATTTCATTCTATATGATTAAGGTATTTCTCGGTTTAATTTAGTTAAATAAAATTTATTAAAATAAAAAAACACATAAACGAAAGAAAATTAAAATCCTGATCCGTATGTAATTGAATTTTTATTTTGAACGATTTTCATAAACCAGTCTTTTGATTATTTGATTACAAATATATGTTGAACAAATTACGTCCAAATATGTTTCTTTCTCAAATAACCGTTATTTTAAACACATATTGAAAGTGTTGAACATTTATAAAAACAAAATAGGTATTTTAACACTAAAATCATTTATCATGTTCTATTTGGAAAATATAAAAACTGATCAAATGAAGCATGAAAAATATATATATATATATATTTATTTATTTATTTATTCATGCTATAAAGTTGTCCAGGAACTTACTGAGTTCCTCTAACTTCTTCGCAATGTCTACCCCGTATAAATCTTTCAGGTCTTGTCTAACTTAATAAAGTCGGATTTCATTTCGATGTATCAAAATTTTCATTAAAATATTATGAAATTTGCTTTATATGTCTATCTTGCAAAAGTGTTACAATCATATAGATATTTATATAAATAATTTTATCAATATTCAAAAATTTAATGATTTGACCCATATAAAAATTTTCATATAATGCATTTTGAAACTATATTTCATTAACAAAATTTAAAATTTGTCTAATTTTATATATGTAAAAATATTGAAAATCCTTATTGCTTGAAGAAAGAGACATATGTGTTATTTATATAGCTGTAGATTCAAACTTGTGGTGAATCAATGTTAGTCAAAGGTTCAAGAAAGCTAATGTTCCTGAAGTAATGACCAAAAACTCCATTGTTTTATGTATTCTAGCTTGACGCATAGATTTCATAGTATAACGTAAACACCTGTCATGTAAAAAATCAAACTAGAAAAATTAATTCAAATGTCGTGCTTGTGTGCGTAAGAGAATATGAATATATTCTGTCAAATTTTTTAACGCAGTTGAATATTATTAACTTCTAAACTTAAAAGTTCCATACATTTTTAAATGTATGGAGTCATAGAAAAATTCAGTCGACTTTTACTCTGTTATTAAGCATGTATCTTTGCGCCTGGGGCAATGACGCAGTTAGTGAGGTAAACCCGAGACGCGTCAATTGCTGGTTGAAAACTATAGACAAAGGTACAAAAAACCTTTACGCATGAGTACATCATGAAAATGATTAGGAGAATATGTATATATGAGGCCACGTCACCAAGGCATTCTTAGTGTTATTGAAATTTTTGGCAAAATTGTATTTAAGAAAAGAATGATACGTTTAATTCAAATAAGGCAAGGTATCCACCGCCTGATTTTTTATTTTCTATATATCTAGTTGTGTTTATATATAAATTACTGAACAGTCCATTAAGTGTGTCTTAACATTTCTATCCATTTACACAGAATCTTTACGGTTTTGTTATTCTATTACATGAATATGACTAAAATGGTGGTCCAGCAGTAAGAGAAAAACAATTTATTTCATTATGCTTGTTGTTGCATATGTAATGGCCTTTATATTTCAAACTTACTAGAAGAAGAAACAAAACTAATTATAACATAATACGTATATAGAAAGATGATTGCATTTTGTTTCTATGAAGTTTAATATTCATCGTATAAAAGCGTATGTGTAGCGAAATAATTAGTTTGGGGTGTTTTGCAAGAGTATGATACGTTTATAACATTTCAACTGGTTTAGTTCAAAATTGCAAGAAAGAATCGGTTGCATATAGCATAGTAGTAAAGCAGGTGGTATTTTTTTGAATGATTCAGAACCAAATTTGATTTCTATCCAATATAATTGCAAAGTATCAATGATGACACATGGCTAACATCACTGAGTCCTGATTTTTAAGTAAAGATTTACATGTAATGTAAGTCTTCATTTTTGACAATATATTTTATTAATTTTATTTTCGTTTCCTTTTTGGAAAAAAATATAAATCTGGGATGTTCCGCTACAACATCATCTCTGCATATATTGACTGAGAACTGAATTTCAAGAGATGTCTCTTCGAGTTCAAACTTCAGCAGTCGTGTGAAACTGTATGCAAAATCAGTTACAACTTGCCCACGAGAAGAGCTTGTCCACCAATCAGACAAGAAGAAATCCAATTGTAAGTCATATTTGCATAGCAGTCTTTTGTTTTGTATATGTGTTGAAAATGAGGAGGCTGCATATGTAACTAATCTTTACCAAGTATAGATAGTTGAAAACAAGACTGCTATTAAGAAGGGGATGCAATATTTTCTTTTTGTGAAGTTATCTGGTTAAGTCTTCCCCGAGTTTATATTTGGACATGTATACATAAGATAATGCTATGTTAGATATTAAAAGCCTCGAGAACTATCCTGCTGTCATTTCTCGGTTACGCCAATGAAAGAGCGCAGTATATGATTCAACAAACCCCGATTGTCCCTTCATTTATATTGGACGGAGAGCTTAGCTTGGCAATATAAAAGGGGATATAATGCTAATTCTTCCTTACTCCAGCACAGTAGAAAATGAGGAAACCACAAAGAAAAGCCATTACGTGACACTGAATCTTGGGCGGACTTTTTGCGGAGATTCCACTTCCGGTTGAACTGATCAGCTGTCCGTGACACAAAAGATATCCAGTATCTAAGAAAGCTCTGACCTGGAGTGGCATCATTCATCAATTTCGAAACTTCTTATCATGATATCTTCTTCGGTGCATGCCACCATTAAATCGTGTTATGCATCCTCCTTCCAGGATGCCTGCGGGAGAGCGAAGAAGGAAATGACTTATTTCAGACTTGTTTACACCAAACTAAAGATAGGTCCCATAGACAGAAAATCAACCAAGCTCACAATCTTATCCTCTAACTAACTCCATTGCCTTGAACATCGCAACACTTCTCAACTGTACACACGTTGTTTGCATCCATAATATCACCTGGAAAGCCCAAGAATTCCAGTGTATGATGGGGCTGTGTACAACGGAGAACTGGAAGCTCAATTTCGGAAAGTAGTCAGGCCATCTTGAGAAAACCAAGGCGTCGATAGCATGATTTCACGCGCTCCTGTCAAATCCACTTAATGACTAAATGTCCATTTATTTAGCAACGAATATGGCGGAACACACAAATGCCCGGCGTGAAGGGATCCAAAAAGGAATCCGATCGAAACAAGTCGTTCAACACTGGGCGAGCCGGAGGCGGTCGCGGACTGGGGGGTGGGGGTTTGCAATAATAGTGGGCATTCGGATATACTAACCCCACCACGAGCAGGCATCTGCGAGAAGGGGAAAGGGTAGAAAGCAAAGCGCAAGAGAGAGAGAGCGCGGCGCAGGGAGGGAGAGGGAGAGAGAGAGAGGGAGGATGGAAGGGAGGAATTAAAGAGAGCTCGGCTCTCGGCGATGGTGCCTGATGCCTAGCTCCTGCTGCCTCCCTGCTGCTGGTTGCCTCCGTCCTTCTCCTCTTGTCTTGATGCAGGGCTCGGGCTCCGTCCTTTTCTGCTCGTTCGCTTAATGACGCAGAATATAATAGAACAGTGGAGGCAGGGGGAGGGGAGGTGTGGCAGCACCACAACACAGCAATGAAGCAGAGGGTGCGCGGGGAGGGATCCGGTGGAGAAATGGCAGGCATGCAAATCGCTTGACATGACATGACGCGCGTTGGCGGTGCAGCCCCAGCCAGCAGTGGAGCCGAGCCAAGCCAAAGCAGCGCAACGCGCCAGGCGCCCAACAACCGAGCGAGCGACGAGAGCGAACGGAGGACGTCGTCTTCGCGCTGGTCGTCGTCGTCGGTGTCATTCATGCACTCACTCTCTCGCGCACTCGCTCGCCCGCTCTCCGGCCTCGACTTCGGCCCCTCGGTCCTGATCAATCTATTGCCACTAGTCGCTATTCTGGTTCGTAATTCCGCTCCCTCGAGCGACCGTCGCCTCCCATCGTTGGGCTCGTCCGTCACTTTCGCCGCGCCGTGACGCCGTCTGCTTTTCTTCGCCCGCCCCCTCTCATTCCATTCCTCTCTTTTCTTCTTGCTGCCTGGCTCGCGGCCACGCCACGCCTCGCCTCGAGACGCCACGAGACGGAGACGGAGACGAAGACGAAGACTAGGACGAGGACGAGGACGACGATCACTCCCGCAGTGAGCGAGGAAGCGAGGTATGGAATGAGGAGGAGTTGCGTCTTAGGGTGCGGAGGGAGGGAGGCCGACCGCATGTGCGAGGCGACGGGAGGTCGGCGAGCCGAGACAGGTGGAGCGACGCTACGCGAGGCCCGTGAGGCAGCGCGAGGCGGATTTTCGCGTTGTTTGTTCGACAGGGATTTCGTTCCGCGTGATTCGGTGAGCCGGGAGAGGAGGCGAGAGGAAGCACGGCCTCGGAGTTGCCGGAGAGTAAGCCCGGAAGGATTGTGGTTGGCGTGATCAGAGAGCTGGAGCTGTGGAGCTCGTTATGTCTTAGGGTTTTAGAAATTCTGAGGTGGCGGGCCAGTTGGAATCGCTCTACGAGGAATCCCGGGTAGAAACGCTAGCTTGGGTAAATTTCGATGAATTTTCGGAGGATTCGTGGCCCGAGCGTTTGAACCGACCTGAGAGCGGACTTTTTCTCCGAGATTACAGGTTGTGGATTTTGGAACTCAGGAGGTTGAACAAGCATTGTTCCGTCTCCACATCATCGCTTACTGTTATGTGGGTGTCGCGCCAACAAAGTCTTAAAGCAAAAGCTGCCCCAAAACTATAGCTTTGTGGGCGGTCCTCCCTCATGCTGTATGGCGCTCACTCTCTTCCCGGCGTACCATCATGCATTCAAATTTGACGGTGGACACTTGGCAATGAATTGAAGTGCCTGTCATACCTCTGAGCTGACTGATGCAAATCGCGTGTGTCTGAATTGAAACTCCCGGCTTAGCTCTCGTGTTTTCAAGGAGGTCAGGAGCATGCCCTGCTAATTAGAATCGGTGACGGAACAGTCATCGGTGAGCTGCGGATGGCTGCTATGGATTCTTAGGGACGAAAATGCCGGCATGTATCTTGGGGCACCTGGAGAGGTTTAAAGCTTGTTCGAGGAAGAAGCCGAGGTTATTGCAAAGAGCACACTCACCGAAGTTTTTAGAGAATCTGATTGCTCAGTTAGGTAACCGCGACTTACTCGCCACGTGTTCTGCATCACCAGCCGTGAAAAGCTTTGGTAGAGTTTTCCGCGCTTCATCGAATTGGAAAAGCTCACAGAGTTCCACAAGCAGGTATACATATCTTCTCTGTCTCCGTCTATCCTATCGCTCTCAAATTCTATCAGAAAGTTCTGAGACGTTTGCCATTACCGTTCTTGAAAACATGGTTGGTTTTCGTAGTATAACTGGGAATCGTAGGATGTTGACGAGACGTGTGACCCTACCGAACCTATTTAGGAATAGGTGGCGGCGGATAGAAGGCGTTTGAAGAGAGAAAGCTGCCGTGATGTGACAGGTTTCAAGGAAGAGTGGATTGTGTAGGGTGCTCTCTTCGATAGCTTAGAGATGTATGGCGTCTGTAAGAACTAAAATTTCACAAAGATTGGTTCCAGGTACAATGGAGGGGTGGGGTTCTTGACAGGCTATGAAAGGCATTGTCACATCTGACCTTTAATGCTTGCAACAGTCGCTCACATGCTCTCAGATTTTGTACTCTTGAAGGATGTAACTTGAACTTTGCCTAAAACCTAGACCTGTCGTGTGGGTGCGCAATGTCCCTGTACCCTCGAAACTGGAGTGTCAGTTTTGCGATCAAAGCAAAGTACAAAGTTGCAGTCGCTGGCTGCGCCTTTTAAAGTTGCTATGAATGCTACGTAGCTGGACTCTGTGTTACTGTTTCTACATCTTTATGTCATGACTTCTAATTGTTGAAGACCCCGAAATATGGATTTCAAGGGCTTGTAATGTGGACAGCTTACTTGCAGTGTCTCGTGAATATGTTTTAGGTCCTGTCCTCTTAATGAACATCTATTTATTAAGAGGGCTGATGCCAAGGGCTACACTTTGTAGCGAATTACCGTCTTAGTTGCATTCTGAAGATTCAAATATTGCCTGCAGTTGATTGCGGCTTTCGACTACAGGTCGGAGGGTACACTATTACCTGGTAGAAGATCGGAGAAGTTTTCTTCTCCAGCTCGTGTTTGACGGATGACATGGTGGGACACGATCAGCCAGTCAAGAATGAATTATTTGAAAGACTGCCTGAGGTCATCATTTTCTTGAAGATGTGGAGTCCTTTCAAAGATCTCGAGGATTGCTGAAGACATTATGTAAGTTATCTTTTATACCACTGTCGAGAGTCATTAAGGTCGTGGAAGTGCACCAACAGTTTCGTCGATAGTTTTGTGCCGCTGGAAATCCCCGATTCTGATTTCTGTTCAGCTGTTCTTAACCTCATCAATATATATCTAAGTACTACGGATATGTGTGTTTCCCCTAAATCAAGAGTTCTGTAAAAGAGAAACATGGTATTTGCCATGTTTCTCTTTTAGTACATGGCAACTGCTGAATGGCACTACTGATGAGGTCAACATGGGAGATTTTTCCTCCACGTTTCTGTTGTTCAAGGTTCTTTTGGAGTGCCATGCATGATTTAGCTCGTTTAATCAGGCACTTGACTGGGCTACCATTTTAGGTTTTGAGCTAGCCAAAGTATCAAGTCAGGCTCAAGTATATGTCAATCTGTTGCTCAAAGGGTTCTTATTTTGTTTCACCTCCGTAACAGATCTCAAACTGTAAGCAAAAATAGTAAGGAGTGCTTTGACGGTTTGCTCTAAGCTGCCAACCGAGATCAAGTTTGCTCAGTTTTCTACATATGGGTTGACTTTTTTGAGAAATTTTCCTTTCCTGATTGTTTCGACTGTAAGTAGTAACTTAAGAATTTCGGTAGTTTGCAGTGCCGTTTTGCGCTCGCTCGGCTTCCTTTTTCACCTAGGCAGGTTCTTACATAATTTTAGGGTGTCTTCCTTCTTCATACTGATTTTGAGAAACTCCCTTACTGCCACAGCTCATCATACAGTGTCTTGATTAGACCTTGTGCTCTTCGTGCCATCAAGAGTTTTATCATGTCCTCCTCGTTTGGCACCTGTAGACGTAGGCAACTGGCTAGGGCCTGTTCATCACGATTGGTCTCAGTAGGCGACCATGTCACTACGTTCTAATGCTGTTTCTGTGTTGATCTGTTTTTTGATAACTTTGAGCTTGGCCTAATGCATCATTTGATCTTAGTCATTATCTCTACATTAAAATCTGTACAATTGTCTCAGGCCCTACAGAGAGGCAGCGAGTTTTCTGCCTGTTCTTTGGTATCTGTTTCTGCTGTTTTTTTTTTTTTTATTTCAGCTAAAGAGACTCATCCCCATGCCTTAAGAGATAGGGCCTCCATAAACTATATGAAACCCCACGCAAAGAATTCCGATTGGAACTTGACGTGCACACTTTATCTCAAATTCAAGAGATGCTTCATGGGTGTCGATAAGATGTTGGAAATTGCGGGAGCGTATTGATGCACTTTCACTTTTTTTGATTACTACAGTCTCTGGATTCTTATTTAGCATCGAAAGAGTTTATGCCAGCACTTTCCTCCGTTGGTACCCTTCTCTCTATTTCACGCTTCAGATCCACAGCCTCCTTTCTCCTCTGAGTGTTTAGACGCCCTTCGTCCTGCCAGATTCTGATCTTCATTATCTTTCAAGCACGGTTTGGGTTAGGTTGGGTCGGATATATCGACCCAACCCAAACTTCGACTTGGGTTCTGTCGCATTATATTGCTTACACCTTCCTTCACGCATGGATTCCGTTTCTGCTTCTTATCGGCAGAGATTTCAGCTGATGCTCTTGGATATAGCCTGATTCCCGTGAATTCATTGCCTCTTGGTTTCATTCTCTTTGACTACCGTGGGACCTGTAGCACTCATTACGACTTAATCTCCTACTACACCTTTAAATTTCAGTTACAGTTACAGCCACCTTTATGAGTATTTGTAGTTGGATTTGCTATAAATATATCTAAGCACACACAGACTCCCACGCACACTTTTTAAGCTTATGCACGTTGACTATAGCCTCTTGGATTTATCTGTATTTAATGTATCCAAGTTTGTATTCCTTCCTGGGTATCTTCGTGGAACCTGCTAACGCTTCTCCTCTAGTTCCACTGATTTCATTCTAGATCTCATCATTCCTTGATTGTGATCTGCATCTATTTTGCGTTAGTTTTCAACTACAGAGATCGGTTTTTACAGGCTTCTCTCACGTAGGTTGCATGTCCATTCTCTATTTGAAATGAAGAGTTTGCCACTAACTTGCAGGTATGAGTGGAACCTCACTGTATTAGTGCACCTTTTCTATATTTGTTATAGCCACGCAGCTTCTTTTAGTGAATAGTACTCAATTATGCTTCGTGCCGTATCAACCGTTTTTCTCGAGATCTTTAAGGAGCTCTAGATTTTCAGTTTTTTCGATTTTGTGTGGTTACAGTTGTTACCGTCTGGTGACGTCAGTGCTGTAAACAAGAGTACTAAATTAATTTTGTACAACCTTTCTCGAATTGTATAAACTGCTGTATAGTCAAAAGACAGACTAGTATTAAAATCAAGTTTCAAGTATAATCAAGAATAACCTGATTTTCTCTTTTCCCTTGTGCAGGTGATGCCCACATTTTAGCCTATTTCCGGAGTTAGGGTTGTTCATCATTTACAATACCTGGCTCAATGGCGAAGTTATGGAGATCCCTGACTCTGCTGATGACCCTAATGGTGGTCATAGCAGTAGTTGCAGGAACGGTCACTTCTCCTCCCGGTCTTCCTGGTTGTACATGTGAGGATGAAGTCTGGGCCTCTGCAGATGAGAGCATGACTCGGTGTCAGCTTGCCAGTGACTTTCTAATCGCCCTAGCCTATTTCTCAATACCCTTGGAGCTGGTCTACTTTGTGAGTTGTTCTCACATGTTCCCATTTAGATGGGTCATAATTCAGTTCGGTGCGTTCATCGTGCTTTGTGGATTAACACATTTCATCTCTATTTGGACGTATGGACCCCATTCCTACGCTGTTGTCATGGCACAAACGGTACTCAAGATTCTCACCGCAGTGGTTTCTTGTGCGACTGCAATAACGTTGGTGCACATTATTCCCGAACTATTGCACGTGAAGGTGCGAGAATTATTCTTGAAACATAAAGCTGCAGAGCTTGACAGGGAAATGGATATAATAAAAACGCAGGAGGAGGTGGGACGGCATGTGCGAATGTTGACTCATGAGATTCGTATGTCTTTGGATCGTCATACTATTCTAAATACTACCCTCATCGAGCTTGCAAAGACTCTTAGTCTTGAGAATTGCACTGTCTGGATGCCGAATGCCGATGGCAATGCTCTGGAGCTGTCTCACGAGTTGGAGAGGAGACTGGTGCAAGTTCCCATCACCATTCCTGCCGGAGATTCTTCAGTTCAACTTATTGTGCAGACTAGAGCCGCTGTGATAATACCTCCGACATGTGGTCTTGGACGAGAAAGTAATCACCGCCTCCTGTCAGGAGCAATGGCAGCTGTTAGACTTCCTCTGCTCCATGTTTCCAATTTCAAGGGGGGAACACCTGAGACCTTTCATGCGTCATACGCGATCATGGTCCTCGTTTTGCCCGGCGAAAGTGGGCGCCAGTGGAGACCACATGAGCTTGAGATGATCGAAGTCGTTGCAGACCAGGTAACTTGTGTGCATCCCCATGTATCGTAGAAATCAGCAGACTGATTCAACGTCAAGAGTTTTTAAATCTTTTCCTTTTCGATCGACTTGAAGTCCCCTTCTCTTCCACGTTTCTGAACATTTTTGGGGGTTTGCAACGCTGGTTCGTAGAGGTATCCACGTGCAGTTGTCTGTCTAGCTGAATCAGTTACACCGGGCAAATTCTTGTTTGCCGTGATCCAGTTCATGAGTTATGTACGGTTTTGGTTATTGTAAATTGACATAGATGTTCTCCACCAACTCATTTGCTGATTCGAAACAAGTTTGGTTCAACTTTTGTGACTCTGAAACGTACAGAAGGTTTTAACAGTGTACCCATAAATGCGTTCCAAATGTTGAGTATACACGTAAACAATTTATCTTGCATCTTATCGAGTTTTAAAGGTTCGACCCTAATACTTCATCTTCGGCGGCTGTATTGGTGTGTTTTGATCTTCTTTCAGGTTGCCGTTGCACTCTCTCATGCCGCAGTTTTGGAGGACTCTCAGCGCACTAGAGACAAACTTGTGGAGCAGAATAAAGCACTGCAGCAAGCAAGGCTGGAAGCAGAGACAGCAATCAGGGCAAGGAATGATTTTCTGGCCGTGATGAACCACGAAATGCGCACGCCAATGCATGCAATAATTGCACTCTCATCCTTACTTCAGGAAGGAAACTTAACCATGGAACAGCGAGCCATGGTGGATACAGTTGTGAAAAGCAGCAGCCTTTTGTCCACTCTGATCAATGATGTTCTGGATTTTTCAAGACTAGAAGATGGAAGCTTGATTCTTGAGCTCGCACCATTTGACTTGCTTACGGTGTTGAGAGAAGCAGGAAACCTGGCGAAACCTATGGCAAGGGGTAAAGGCTTGGAATTTTTCTTTGAGATTGCAGATGATGTTCCTACACATGTAATCGGTGATGAGAAGAGGCTTCTGCAAACCTCCTTAAATGTTATAGGTAATGCTGTCAAGTTTACCAAGACCGGATTCGTCACAGTTGTGATTTCAGTCGAGAAAGGCGACGGAAGGATGGATCCTCGATACCCATCCTGGAGGCCTTGTTTAGGTGAAGGCTATGTGTACCTTCGAATTGAGGTACAGGATTCCGGATTGGGTCTCCGAGAGTGTGACATTCCTCGACTATTTCACAAGTTTGTACAGGCTGATAGCACGACTACCCGCAACTACGGTGGAACAGGATTGGGACTTGCAATTTGTAAGAAGTTTGTCCAGGTATGATGTTTCCGGAAGTTATGTTCAATTCCATCCTCGGTATCGCAAGTTCCGTAACGTAGTACCAGATACTCATCGACTTCTTTATCTCCCAGGTCAAAACTCAATGGCGGAATGTCGTTGAATCAATATGCGGTCGAGTTAGGGTTGAATTTGCTACGTGGATACGTCCTTCATAGTCTTAATGTAAATCATTTTGGTTACTTCATGCTTGAAAGGTGGATGGCCTAGAGGAGGAGTTGCTTCTGTCAAGGATGGTTTTGAGAAAGGAATTTTCAGCCGGGCCAAAGATAGCTAACTGTTTATCTGTTAATGTTACAGCTTATGCATGGTCACATCTGGATTGAAAGTGAAGGATTGGGTAAAGGCTCAACCGTCACATTCATCATCAGGCTACAATTGATGCCAACATCTGGAAAGAGGGAAAGGACCGCACGCGAGGAACAGTTGAACAGAGTGGACCTGAAAGGCCTGAAAGTGCTGGTCACGGATGATAACTCTGTTAACCGCATTGTCACTCGCAGGTTACTAGACCGACTCGGTTGCAATACAACTGTTGTGGAATCAGGTCATCAGTGCTTGGCAACTTTATCTCAACCAGGCAGTTCATTTGAAGTTCTGCTACTGGATCTTTGCATGCCAGAGATGGATGGTTATGAGGTAGCCATGCGAATCCGCCAAAGGTTTCGGCCTGAGGATCGACCTTTGGTGGTGGCTCTCACAGCGAACACCGACAAAGACACCCGTGATCGTTGTTTACAGATTGGAATGGATGGCGTTGTTCTGAAGCCAATCTCTCTAGGGGACATGAGCACAGAGCTTTGCAAGCTTCTTCGGAAGACCACACACAGTGGAAACCTTAGATAGCATTCTCAACTTGGTCAAGAATTTGGTCCTCTGTACCATACTCCACAATTTTCGTACTCAGGTAAAGAAAACTCTGGAGCAAGTCATGTTGCAAACACGCATGCTTAGGTGAATAGATAGATAGTTAAGTTTGTGTTTTCTGCCCAAACCAACGTCAAGATACTGAATCATGGTCGGCGGATAAGGTCAAATATCATGTAAAGCTGATGTTGTGGCGGTTTTTGCACCTATTCATTCTTGTTGTACCATCTGATAATTGTGATCTCACACATGCAATGTACAATAGATCATTGCAGACCAGTGGAATGGATTCACAGAGCTGCCATGTGGGACTGCAGTCACCAGCAGGTGAGTAGGAGTTAGCAGCTGCAGAGTGTACAGAGTGTTGATTCAAGACAGATTGCCATATGATCAAAGGCCGGTTGTAAAAGTGTCGGACTTTGACCAGTCTTCTCACTTGTTCGATGATATGATGTGTATGTAAAGGTTACGTTAATCGAAGACTAAGAATGCTGAAACATGGAGCTATTGTTGCAGTTACACTAGATTGAAAAGAACAAAAGTAGCTGTTTTATTTCGTCTTCTTCATTTGACCCCTGCGTGGATAAGCTGCAAGAAGCAACGGGTGTGGCCGATCGTATGGGCAGAACAGTCGACATGAATAAAACATCCATTCATTGGATCAGCTGACGAAATATGTATAATTGTCTGACATTTTGGAAGTAGTTAACGTTCACGAGGACCTACAAATTATCTGCCGCCTAAGCGTGGCAAAAGCACTGAAGTAACCTCCTTAATTCACCCTGCCACCAATTTTGGAGAAGTTAACAGGACAGGTTTTACTCCAATTGCCTATCGCCCGCAAGTGACGTTTAGTCCAGCCTTCCACCGTAGCAGAGTGTACACTTCGGTTCTAAATACGCCGGTATAACAGCCCGTCGTGCTAATCAGGGAACGTCCCCTACACTAGTCGGATTCGTTTTCATCCGTATGTGTGAATAACCGACTTTCCGTCTGAAACAGTCAGGGGACCAAAGAGTCGTATCTGATGAATTACTAGTATGTCTCGACCGCGAGAACAGTGTTCGAAAACCAAGCAGATTGCACCAGCTGATGAAGAGAAAATTCTATGCTGAACGAAGTCATGAGAAAAAACAGTGCGCAAGATTCCTGTGGTATTTGGTACAGTAACAATTTGTAACGAAACTAGCTTTGATACTGAACAAGGACACATACCACCATGTCTTGTTGAGGACTGTTCTCTGTCGTGACACCATCAGTACTACGATGACGCCGCAGTGAAAGAGCGTTCCTAGAGCACACGTATCCCGTCTGCTTCTCACGCGAAAGACTTGACCTGTACAAGAATGAAAACTGGAGGCATAGAAGACGGAAAGGAGGAGGTATATGTGAAGATAGTTTGCCAAGAGTAATGCAAAATCAGAAAGAGAAGCCCAATTAGGATTATTCTTGGTACATAACTCCTCGACTTCGGTTCACAATCAGTGTGCACTCAGCATGTGCTTGACTTACAAACCAGCCCCTTACAATTCCTGTTGCCACTGGAGTCGAGAGCGAGAGCGGATTGTAGTAATTGGCTCTACTGCTTGACAGGAATTTGAAAAACTGAAGCTAATTCAAAACCATCTGAAGTTCAGATGTCACCTCCTTGCATCGAAGGTCGTTGTCGCGGACGTCCCAAGTCGGTCGGTGACATTAGGCTACCGGCCCAGAGGCCACGTCTTCCACACGTTTGTCCGCAATCAGAGTATGGTTCGTCTGGTCGGAGGCCCTCTTCATTTTGTCGCCCAAGAGTTGCTTTGATTGCCTCGGTGAAGTACTGCCACTTGCTACAATTCGCTCTCTGACCTAATCTTCGATATTATACGTCATGCACAGAGAGGATTACTGATTATCCGACTCAATGAAGAAGGGAATAAGTTTGGGAGGTTTAAAGTTGATTTGGCCTCTAAGCCAGAAGCTTTAAGACAAGAGGTGAACACCGTAGAATGTGTTTATCATTTCAGTTAGTAAACCGATCATCTTCCCGATTTTTATCGATACACTTTCTTTTAACGTTCTGTCTAACGTGTGAATTGATCATGTGGTCGTATCAGTTTGAATGATTTATTTATTTATAGGTCCAAGAAATCATTTGTCATAACATATGCCTATTGATAGATAAAGAATGAGATGTCAGACTAATGTTTGGGGAGGAGTAAGTTTGCTCGAGATAAAATGAGGATGAGGCAAAACAATGGCAAAACAATATCGCTAATATCAGATACAGTAGAGATGGTAGATTCACTTTCACGCGAAATAAAGTTTCTAGTTACTTCACTACAGCGTTTGCACATTGTTAGCAGAAGATCTACTAGTCAGACATATTCTGGGACTTCAAGTATTACAGAAAGAGAATGGGAAGGTGGGAATTTGATGTTGATAAATGTACGCTTTTAAAAAGGTGTATTTATTAACATCAAATACCCCACAAAGCCGCACTTAGGGAAGTGGATAGTGATTTTTTTGTGGCTAAGATAGATACGCCGCTAGCTTCATCATGGAGTGATAATATATAAATAAAATAGACCAAACTGTAACGGTTCTTTACCAGGAAAGGAGGCTATGTGACATGAAGTATTGGCCCTATCATACATCAAGCCCTACGTTTGAGGCAACATCAGGTACTTGAGCCCATGGGCTATGCAAAGTTCATGCAACTTTGGACATGTTGGTCTAAGCATAGTGCTTTGTTCTTGGTAGTAAATGCAAGTTCTCAATCAGTCGTGGACAAATGAGGGATGCGACGTCTGCAATGTCTGCAATGACAAGTGGATGAGAAGGAGCTTGTCCGCGCTGATGGAGTTCCGACTCGTGCTGCAAGGAAATGTACTCTGCCAAGAGAACGTGGTGCATTTCCCTTTGGGAGTGTGCAAAGGCTGATAATTATACGCGGATTAATCCACAACCCCTCGCACTCCATATAACGCCGAGGATAACGTACGAGCTTTGCATCAGGTCGGTCGGTCGGTCGGTGGTTCAGTATTAAATCTGGTGGGCCCCCACCAGCGCAGAAATTTTCTGTTACCTGATGAATTCCGGTATGTTGCAAAATCGATCGTTCGTCTGGAGATTTTTCATGGAGTTTGTTAATCCAGCCAACTAATAAACCTGGTGATCGTTGAAATCTACTGGCCGACGTTGCCAAGGATTTTGGATCTCGGCAGGGGCAGATATGGCCAGAAGCGGATTCACCCGTCTCCTCCATGCACTAGCTCGTTGACAAGTGCAGGCATGAGAAGTGTAACCATCTAGCTGTAAAACTGGCTTGATTTGATGCTAAAGTCTATGCTTTTGTGGACTCCATGCATCAAGTATTTAATTTTTCAAGTCCACATCCAAAGTAACCTCAGACTTCTTCAATCAACAGTTTGGGAGAAGAGAATGAAACTGTGTAAACAGTGGATTAAAATGGCCGTGAGGTCCTCAAAAAACGTAAGATGCATCACACAGCTCTTTTTGAGTTTCTTATACATGCAATGGTTTAATGAATTAGTGATGTTTATTCTGCTTATGATCAAATATGTATGCCCGTGGGTTCAGTGATGCGTAAGAGATGTTCATCGATGCAAGATCAATAAATGATCGATTTTGCATTGATTTTTCCTAAAGTGACATCTTACGTTTAAGAAAATCACTAACACGACAGGCTTCCGAATTTGACTGATCGAAGACAAGCATACAGAGAAGGAAAAGACTCGGTGAAGATTGTGCCTCAGGATCTGTGTTGATTCCAGTTGTCACTAGAGACTGGGGCAAATATTTAGGATTCCCTTCAAAAGAGCATAGCTGGATAGTCATGAAGAACATGTGGCACATCTTTGGACATACGTGAAGAGAAACATATGCTATTGTCATATGATATGAGACGGTTGAAAAGGATACTTCATCTTCACTTCTACGGAAGCATTTTGGAGTAATAGGTAAGCTGTTGATGTGGACACACCTGGTGAGTCGGTAAATTCCTCTCATATTTCTTAAGACGTAGACTCATAAGAGATGAACTACATAATTGTTGGTGTTGACAATCAAATATATGTGTGCTTTGGTAAATGTCATATATTTTACTCTTTAAGATACATGAAAAAATCAGTCATATCAGAAACTCAAGAAATAAATGTATTCTCAAGTTGATGCTCGAAATTATATCCACTATATCATCAATTATAGTGGAAAGTTCAGATTAATATAATTAGAAAGTTTAGAAGATCGTTGAAAGCATGCATCTCCCAGTGTTCTCCGTTACAAGTGTAGGTCCAGCATACCTTGACAACGAACCTTTCCTGTCAAGCTATGCTGGATCATAATTGACCCGAGTGCTGCATGCATGACAATGGAAGTAGTCCCACTACAAAGATCACTTGGAACTGCATACATCATATTGTCCTGTTCTTCAAGGGCCTTCTCAAGCTTAAACCTAAATCAGTGGACCAAAGCGTGAGGGATGTACCCCACACTACATCCGTCTCAAGGATATATTTTCCCCTCCCAGCTTAATTTGCCTTGGCGACAAAAGTGGGATCGATTTGCATGAAGTCCACCATGTAGGGTCTATATTCAGTCCTCCCTCTACAAACAAACAAACAAACAAGCTTTTGTGTTAACATGCACATTTTTTTTAAATGGCCGTCTCTTCATGCCCTATGATGTATGACGACTGCGGACATGCTGTACTTCCCACCTGCTGAATTGTTCTTGTGATATATGAAGAGTATTCTGGACAACTTTTAGCTTCTCTAGAAGGCATTGTGGGATGCATTTTATTTCAATCGTTTACTGGACTTGAACTAACAACTCAAGTGGGTCAAGAGGTGACGTAGGCCCAGGAGAAATAACAAGAAAGTTGATTTGTTTCTACCATTTATTTGATCAAAATAATAGTCTAGTCTATACAAATGAATAATATCTGCTGTCGTTGTTATGGAGTGAAGACGGATTCTATACGTCAACTGTTACACTTGTGTCAAGAAATCCCGAATCAAATTACTTGATGGATGGTCCAAAATTTTATGAAACCAAAGGATGATTGTAATAATAGATTCTTTTTGCTCTATATTTGTACCACTTGTGGAAGATGGTAGAGATACGCTACGTGGAGATCTAGTGACGGAATTCCTTTCTGTACAGCTGGACATAGTATATTCTTAATATGGAGATTAAACTTGAAATGTGACCTGACTTCCTGGTAAGAAGCATATGCCAAATAACAGAGTAAGTTTAAAATAATGAAATCTTTTTGGCAATGTTGAGCAGAACGCTGAGTGAAAAAACAAAAACGAATTACTTACTGAAGGTGTTTCAAGATAAATGTACAAAATTACCTACTGTAATGATTCTGCATCAGTTCCCATACAGGTCAACTCTGTACACACAGTTTATTTAAGGTCCGCAAAAATCTAAGAATGTTTATAAATACACAGTGTATCTGTGCAAATTTACAAGAAAGGTTCAACAACATCAAAGAGTGTCTTATACTGGAATAGGGTAAACATATTTCCATATGATTGTCATTTAATTGATATCAAGTCAATTTTATGACTAAGAAGTTGTTTGTGTGAAATTATCGAGAGTTACTTTGTATGAAAAAAATTCTGTAAACTGCATAAGAATTCTGCTCAATGGTTTTATTAGTTAAATTTATTATAAGAAAAATATATCAACTTCACGACTTATGTTTATATTTAAATTATTTTTTTAGATTTTATAATACTCAATGCATAAGTTCAAGTGATTTAATTCTCCTATCTGTTGCAAGATTGTGTTTTTTATTCATTACATTATTTTTCATATTATTTAATTATTATAATTTTATTATTTAAAAATACTATTATCCAGTTATGACTAATTATACACTTCATCATAAATTTTTTACGAGTTTATAATTATAATATAGCAAATTCATAATCTATTTGGCATTTACATTGAACTTGAATTTATTACAATGAGATGCGAAGTACATGTTTTTAATTGCCCACGTATTTAGATTTTTCGATTTTTATGATTTCCATCATGGCATATGACAACAATTAGAAGATTTCTTTTTGAGTCTTGCTTCTTTACAAACGTTTGTATTTTTTTTGAATCTATATTTTTTATCAATGTTGAAAGAAATGGATTTTGAAATTTGTCTGATGATTTTTATTTTTTTATAACATGAATGTATGAAGTTTTTTAAGCAATAAAAATTTTCAAATTCAATAAAAATAAATTTTCATTATCATTTTCTCTTATTTTTAATATTTATAAATTTAATGTAAAAACATCCAAGACTTTTGACTCATCAATATTTGTAATAAATATTTTAGAATAATAATTATTTTTATTTTTATTTTTAATAAAAAAATTATTTAAAATATTATCATTAATATTTTTTCCTTTTGATTCCGTTTCATGAAATATAAAATGATGGAAAAATAATAACAATTAAATTTAAAAAATATAAACTGATTCTAAAGTTGAGAAATGTTATGTATGACAAAACTTAGAAAAATCACTATGAGATAACAAATGACGCACGCAGCCTAAACGAACAAAATATCGGTCCGATGTCGCGACTAAATGAATGTGACTAGTTTGGAATAGAATGAAAGTGGTAACAAGGACTCACTTCCTTGCGACATGTATTGGACACAATCTGACTGATGTGATTCAATAATCTGAAGTGAGCTGAGATTAAAATCATGCATTAGTGAATGAGCTTACTGGGTATCACTAGGACTCGAAAAGGTAAAGTAAAAGGTAACCAGGTAAGCCATGGACCTTTAACTTTTACGTTACTTGTGTCACTATTGTCTACCTTTACTTCTATCTAAGAGTAATTACCGGGTTACCTGATACGGATTTTTAAAAGTTTAAAAGTTACACTTTCATCAGGGTTACCCTACTAACTATACCCTAAAGGGTGAAAGGTAGAGATAATAGGGTAATTTACCTGTTTAGTACAATTCCGCGATGGAATGGCGGCCGTAATGTGCAAGAGGTTAACTTTTAATTCCTTATCTACATTTGTTCTCTCACTAGATTCTGCGAAATAGTGCTTGCGCTTGGAATTACCAATTCGACTTAAACCTGAATTGCTGTTTCCTGGAGAATGTGCAGAATTACATTTTGAACAATTCTGAGAGTGGTCACGGTTTTGTTTTGTTTTTCACAGGTACGAGTGTAACCCGGTAATTACCGGATAACCCATTTGGCTCTACCTTTACTTTACCCTATAGCAAAACCTCTAATTTTTACCCTTACTTTTTACACTTTCACTGAATAAACCTAAAAGGTTACGTTACCTTGCCGAGGCTAGGTATCACAGGAGTGGTGGTCCCGTTGATCAGGTTTTGCATTCATGCTACACGAAGTTAATCTATCTATTGCCGTGGATGATCCACTACTAATCGGCTGGTCTGAACCTGTAACTTGATACTAAGGGATTTGAAAGACCCGACTTTGTGCAGTTATTTTCTGGAGCCACCTCCCTAAGGTAGAATCTAACTATGGAGAAAATAAGCTTTTTGGGTTAGACAGCTCGGTGATGGTCGCGCAATTATTATGAAAGAAGTAATAATTTTAGTAACTACAACTCAAAGGAGCAAATATAACTCTGTATAATAGATCGGCTTATGGTCTTGCTATACCTTAGGGTTCTCAAATGTTTCATGCAGGCTTCGTTGTGCAAGATAGTCCATGTAGATCCAATTGATGATTTGTGACATGAGCTTTCAACCGTTGAGTCATCTCGTCCGATCTTTGAATGAGAGAATGTCAGAAGATCTTTACGTGAAAACACCAATTTTTCTTTTGTATTGTAATAAAAGAGTATTTTGATATCTCAACAACAAACCATATGCAGGTTCATGCATTACATGAATATGAATCTATAACTCCGGATCGGAACCACTAGGACAAATGAAAAATAAAATCTTTCCATTCTATGTCTTCTGTCCCATTTATTTGGATCCCGCCTAAACTAATATTTCTTATGCTTCTAAGTCAAGCTAATTTAGTTAACTTAGTCAACTGCCTAATATAAACATGGCTGCACATGTAACTCCAACTTACACATTAAAATCACAAGCTACTTAGTTTTTAAATGGTTGATCTGAGTTATTAACATTATGTTCTAAGTCGAATTAAAATCAAGAAGAGTTACTCCGGAGAAGACTCTTTTAGTCATACTTAACAATAAAATTGACATAATATACTCCAATGTATATGGAAGCTGTGTATAGAAATCAATGCAATTTACAAAAGTCTAAGCCATACCGCAAGTTACTATCAAACGCATCGGAACTGTCGGAGATGGGTTGTTCATTTGATTATATCTCGTGGAAGAACTCGGTCGCTTAAAGAAGAGCAAAGAAGGAAAATTTTCAGTTCTGACCTGTTATTGCTTGATTCCTCATGTACGTATTTCCACGAGGTGATCTGAAGGTGGAAGATGTAGCACTCGCAACAACACTCACAGTACAGTAGATCCATTTAATTTGAAGTTTATTGAACGCATTTGATGGCAAGAGAGGACGAACTCTCTGGAACGATCAACCTCGAACACATGTCCAATTCACGCGGTGATTATTTTCATAATGCTAGTGGGCTTTCTCAATCTTGTACATATTCGCTGGCAAGACAATTCTTTTGAAGCAAGACAAGCGAGACTGACTAGAATTCGGAATTTGCGCACACATCCCCTCCCATGACTCAAATTTGATGTTGTGTCACATCCACCATAACAGCAAAGTTGCGATATCAATAACAAACGCCAACACAAGCATTCAGTTTCGACCACCATAGCCATACAGCGGACCCTTCACCACATGTGACCGATCTTGACAAAGTCGACGTTTTAATCAAGATTAGCTTGTGCGAACCTACTGATCGTCGGTGGGACAGATGTTGACGCATGATTTCAAGCTCTGGGCGTCTCCAAAGCTCGGCCTCAATAAGTATGAAAGCAAAATTGCTCTTTCTCAAAAGTGTTGAACTCACGGCATAAATTCAGTTCAAATGGCACCGGGCACGAACCCACTTACTACAGGGAAGCGCACGGGATGCTTAGACCAAACGAATATACTGCGGATGTTGTGATCGATAAGAAGGGAGGGAATAGAGGTCGCAGGGTCCAGATGGAAGGGGACAAATTGCTCGGGTCAACTGACCTTGCGCCTTCCAGAGATCGCGACTCCTGAACGAAGGAAGATGGAGAAAGATGCGCATGTGACATGTAGAGGGACATGGCTTGAGGGAAAGGTGTCCTCCAGTGAGGCCCGCCGGAAGTCTTGGCGCACAGGCGTAACCGAGGAAACTTCCGGGACCGTACCTGTACAGCATACCCAGACGGAAACCGCACATACGTTTGAACTTTCTTTCTGTCAAACAGACTTGTCACTTGTGCCATGTCCAGTTGGCGCTCGCGTCCAGTTGGCCAAGTGCGCTCGGGCTGGCCCCGCCCATTCGCGGGAAACCGGCGGCCCTCCCCCGCGGACTGCCCGAACTTTGAAAGCGTTCAAAAACTTTGAAATTTTAAAGATCCGTCCCTCGCAGGCCGCATCCTTATCGACTGGCGAGCGTTCGTGGCCAACTCGTGATCCGTGGTGGACCTGCTCGAGATCGCAGCGAAGTCGCCATACTATTAACGTAGTTCTTTAATGCGGCTACTGCCCGAAGCTCTCCCACACGATCTCATCTATTCGCTTCGAGTCGATCTCTCCCGATCTCTGTCCTGTAGTTCTCTGGCCCTCCGCCGTTTCTTGTCGATTACGGCGCCTCCTTCACTTTTCCCCGTCCTCGCGACTGCAGTTCTTGACTGTGGTACGGTATGTGACCGAGGTCGTCGGCCGTGGTTTGACGAAGGCGGTCCTTCGGAGGCAGATCGACACGGCGCCGGGCGAATCAGCGCGGGCATGGCCACTTCGACGTCGCGACACTGGGAAGCGAAATGAAGGGCACGCAGGTTCCATCTGAGCGCGGCACATCCTCACCCAGAGTTAGCTCGCATTCCTCCGCTAACTGGGTCCACCACTTCAGGGTCAAGAATGTGCGAGATCGACGACTCATCCTTGGCGTCCACGCTTCCGAGGCCAATCGGAAGGTGGAGGTATTCCTGCTTCTTCTCCTCCCGGTCATCGTCCGGGAGTCACCACCACCCAGGGTCGCCCGGACCGGCCTCTGCGAGACGGTTCCCGGGCCCGTCGGATTTCCTCCGGCCTCCGTCCCCGGCGTGGGGACATGCGGCGGCAAACGAAACAAATAAGCAGGCGAGGTTTAAAGAGATTTGGGGTGTAACTTCCAAAGCCCAGCGTCGGTAACCGAGAGCGCATTCGGATCTCACAAAGCGTTAATAATTCTGCCATCTGTTTATAGCATTTGTGACGAGGCAAAGAATTCACGTTTCCTTCGTTTATGTGTTTTTTTATCATCTATAGCCTCGGCGATACATCGCCAGGCCATGGCGACGTTATCCCCTGTGTACTTTAGCTAGACCCGAATGAATGCGGTGCCCTGGGACGGACCTCGGGCCACGGGAGGCGCATCTGGGATTCGCGGTTGCATGCACCGGTGGTCGGACGAATGGCGACCGACGGACGGACCGCCGGCCGAAGGCGAAATGGCAAGTGATGTCAGTTACAGGTCAGCGGAACCACTGTGGGGACGGTAAAGCGAAGCGCATAGTGCGTCTGAACGCAAGACCCAGGGGACACAGAGAGAGCGGGGTCCCTGGCAGAGCACGGCATCCGTCGCGTAGGCTCGCACAGGACACCGAGCAAGTAGAACACGAGCACCGGAGGCGAGAAGGGTCTTTCGGCTTCGGCTTCGGCTTCAGTAGTGTTGTTGTTAGGGTTGATTGTCTTGTCTTGTTCGTGGTGCCGGAGCGAGAGAGTGCGAGAGAGAGCGAGCGAGCGAGAGCGTGGAATTGTGTGCTTTGAGTGTTACCGCGAGGGACAGAGATTTGGTAGAGGCTTGTTCTTGTGTACATTGAAGAGCTTTGTGACCTTATTAGCTGCGGCAAGAGAGAGAGAGAGAGAGAGAGAGAGAGGTAGGGTAGATAGAGGTAGAGGAAGAAGAGTTTAGGGAAGACAGAGGGCCGGAGCGGAGAAGGCCGGAACCGTAAGGTTGTGGTGGTGGCCGGTTGGTGAGGCTTCGTGAGGGCTTCATTACGACGGGTCAAATTGGGTTACGACAAAGAGAGACAGATCGAATGGAGAAGTGTCCCGTTCATTGATTGCTTGGGCCAACTCCCCCTTCCCCGTCCTCTTGGTCTGCGACACATCTCTTCGTCTCTCGTCGTCTGCCGTTCGTGGACATCGTGCAGCCTCGGGGTGACTTGCATCGCCTGGTGCTGTTTTTTTTCTTCGATCGCATGTGGCATACTCTGATCAGGGGAACTCTTGTGAGCATCGATTGGTTCCTTTATCCCTTGAGAAGTCAAAGCTTATTTGTGCTGCCGACCTCTCGGTGTTCCGGGTCACGGAGTTTGCCAATTCGTCGACACCTTTGTTCTCGTTCAATTATTAGTGAAGGCCCCGAGTGAGTTGCAATTATGAGTTTCATCGCAACTGACGTCGCGAGCTCTTACACCTGTCGGATTCTATGGACCCCAGTTCCCTGAGGGGATTCTTTCATGTGTCCGCGCAGCGTGTAGTTCTTTTCAGTAGCTAGCTAGCTTTAGATTGAGCACTCGTTTGGGGCTGACAAACTCGTCCGTTCCCATTCAAGAAGTGGACACACATTACCATCTAACTTAATCTCGGCATCAGCCAAGCCCATCCACGCTACTCACGTCCTGAAGTCGCTCCTGAGTGTCCTTCCCTCCTCTTTCCCTCCGAGCGGAAGATTCATTGTTCCGGTTTTTTCCCGATCGCCGTTGTGATCTCTATCATTCGTGTCCAATTAACTTCCGAACTTGCAAATTGCCTCGGGTGGTGGCATTCTCGCGGCGCCTGTACATTTTTGAACACCTATATTGAACTCGGAGGGTTAATCTCATATCGAACTTCGTGAGACATTCCCTCTCCACTACTTCACATATCCCGCCATTAGCCCGGACCGTCTTTCAAATCTTTGTAGCTATTTTACCCCCTTCCTGTCAACGACTAGACGGAAAATAACATCTGCTGCCAACGGGGAATTACGCCCGCGTCGATTCGAATAGTTAGAGCATTCTTCCGAGCAGATTTTGCAAGGCGAAGTTGGAGCTGTAACCATGAAGGAGAAGGATGTAGAAATTAGTGCCAGTCCTCGGTACATGAGTCCGATCGTCAAGCAGGACCTCGCCAGGCTGGATAAGGATACGGAAAGCAGGCGCAGTGCGATGGACTCTTTGAAGCACTTCGTCGAGAACTTAGACCCGGCCTCCATGCCTCGTTTTCTTGCCCAGGTGAGTACTGTCCACGTGCCACTGTCTTCGCAGATCTTGTCTTTTACGCGGTGAGATCGATTTTGAGTGAATGTTGTGACCGTGCAGGGTCACTGAATTGTTGCGGGCCACATTTTCTAGTCTTCAAATGTGACCCGGTCGGATCAGTTTTGTTAGGTGAATTATTGCGAGTGTTGTCGGCGAATCTTGATTCGCTCGTCTGTTTTTGGTTAGTGACCGACTTCTCATCTTCTTGGCAGGTTTCGGAGATAAGAGATCAAGGCGCATCGAAAACTTACGCTATATCACTATATGAGGAAGTTGCTCGAGTTCATGGAAAACTCATTATCCCTCACATACCTCGTGTGATGGCTACCGTGACGAGATCCTTGTCCTCGAGTGGAAGTTCACCTCAGCTCCATCAGGCTTGCGCGAAAGTTGTCTCTGCGGTCGCGAGGTACTCGATCGATGACACTTCCCTCTTGCAAGCTGATGAGATTCTTCGCGAGGTGTGCGACCCACTTCTAGAGGAGCTTGCCGGGAAAATAGAGCCCGTGGCAGCTGGTGCAGCAGTTTGTTTGCAGGCTTTGGTCGAGTGCGGGAAATGGGGAAATGCGTCAGACGAGGTCGTGAACGAAGCGTGCTTGCGCACAACAGTTGCCATGGGAGAGAAGAGCACTCGGACTGTCGCGCACATGCAACTTACTTGTGCTTTGGCCACCGCTAATCCAACTATTATGAGTGCGTATGGTGTCCCTCTTCTCAGAGCTGGAGTGGAGATTCTTACACATATACCGGCTTCCGCTTCTGCTCCTGCTTCTTGGCAGCAAAGAGCATGTGCTGCACGTCTCCTACAGGTTGTTCTCCCAATTGTTGATAGAGCCACCCTTTCTTCTGAGTTAGGACCTACCATTAAGGCGCTGGACAGCTGCAAGCATGACAGGATGCCCCACGTAAGAACGGCTGTGAGTGAAGCTCTCAAAACGGCAAAACTTCTTCTGGTGGAGGATAAGTTTCGGCGGAATGGTGATGGTGAGGATCCTCTGGGCATTCCACCCCTCAACTTCTTCTCAGAGAATGACAAGCACTTCAAGAAAGCTTCTCGCAGAAAGAGTCTCTTCGCTGTGTCGGAAGAATACATGCCTTCTCCTGCTGCTCCTAGACGTGCAAGCTGTTCTCCATTGTGCTTTTCGCAAGTGTCACAAGAAAGCCAGATTGTGTCGTTTCCTCCATCCATGTCTTCGGAATCTTCAACCTCGAGTTTTGTTTCTCCTTCTCCTGGGAGATCTCGTAGGTCACCTCTTTTTCCGACCAGACCTCAACACAAGTGTTCTTCTCAAACGTCGTCAGTAAGTTCGGGTGACACATTTGATGGTTATTTTCATCCTTATCGGTTAAGTGAAGCGCCTGCAAAGGAGAACGTCCCCGCACGCAATCCAGATGTGAATGCTGGCGTTCCATATGATATCGGGATTAACTCTGGTGGCTCACCTCGGTCTGGCCGTTTCGGAAAGTATGTCCGGCCCAGACCTCCCACTCCAGGGTCCTACATTCCCTACCCTCCGTCTCTTTCAGACAAGTTGGGAACCGATCAGCAATCAAGAGATATAGGTCAGTCTAACTGTCTTTGGATCTCGTCTCGTTGCCTTTCAAAGACTCTTATGGCAGCTACTGCCACAGCATATGCATAACCAACATATAACCTCTGAACGACTTCAATGTTTCAAGGATCCTTTCCCACTCCCCTCCCCTCCCCTACCCTCCTCTCCCCCTTCCCCTCCCCCTTCCCCTCCCCCTCCTCTTCTTACTCACCTTCCCCTTCCTTCCTGTCCCTTTGTTATCCAAGCATGGATTAATTCTCTTGTGAAAAATCACTCCGTCTTTGTCTGTTGTGGATAATAGAAAAGTCTTTTGTTTTTGGATCTGATCGCACTGTTTGAGATTTATCTAGAGGATTTGGCGAATACCTTTGCAACTGGAGACAGTTTTGTGTGCCGTGACAGGAGATGAATGAAGTTGAAGGTAGGAAACAGTCACAAGATCAGCCATGGGGCCGATGTTGTTTGTCAAATTTGCATCTGGGTGCAGGTTCTCTGCTAACTTGTTCCTGTTCGTTGCTCGGACTATCAGATGTTAGTCCCGTCGTGATGTCGAAGAGTAGACAAGGGCGGAGCTACAATCCTATTGAGGAATCTGTACTTGCCACTTCGAGGGAGCAGGAAGGAGATCTTTTGACTCATGACGAAGAGGTCTTTTCAAATGGCGGAACTACAGTCGATATTGAAGCGGAAAGTGATACGAGTTCAAGCCGAGACAGCATACACAGTGTTTCAAGTCGGATCAGCACTCAAACCGAGCAGAGCACCATAAGTCAGGTGAAGACTGGTAGGGAGAGTCTTGGTTCTTACTCGATTTCTGGATCTGCTCGCAGCCGCAGTGTACTGTCCGGACCAACAATGAAGAACGTGTTTGAACTTAAAAGACCAGTCAATACGAGTGCTACTAGAAGTTCAGAACAGCCTCTTAGAACTGCTGCGGATGAGGACGTTATCCGTCCTGCCGACGACATCCCGGGCAGCGACTGTAAGGAGACAATGGATGCCTTGTGCAACTTGCGAGGGCACTACAATTCTATGGCGCACTTGAGGAGTATGGAGGAGCCCTACAGTCCTCAGGTTTGAAACTTAGTCATTCTCTCTGTTGTCTTTCATTGGAGTGAATTTTCTATCGTTTTTTATTTCCAGCTCATCTTTTCACGGTTGTTCGTGGGTCTGCATGCTTGTTTATGCTTTCAAGTTAGTTTCGTTGTTATTCGTGGCGTGAATGTTATTTTTACGTTATCGGTCTATTCGCTGTGCTTTTGCAGAAGCAGAAGGCACTCATTACAGCAGAGGATTTCCTTCCTTACAGCACTCCCCGTCGCCTAGTGCGATCCCTGCAGTCTACCTTATCTAGCCCGGATTCAGGTTCAGGGAGTGTCGGTGACCTGGATTCCAAATCGACCGGAGAGGTGGTAGATATGGCCGATATGGACCTGGAGACCTCTAGTGAAGCTGGATGGAGTGTGAGGGATAATCCAATTGCCTCGGATGACTCTTTCAAAACCGACAGTGACGAGGAGGACAGTGGAAGGAATGTGTGCAAAAAGATGACGGCTGATCTCAGTAGTGATACTTCTGCATCACCTTCTGATGATAATCATGTATCTGATGCGTGTGAGCGACTAACAGACTCGGTTCTGGGCCTTGCTTCTGAGCTGACTAGTGTGAACAAATCATCCTCAATAAAGGATGGAAGAGTGATTAAGCCTGAGGAGGATGTGGAAATCATAAAGAGAACCCAGCAGGATGGTATCTCTAACTCCTACTCTCAATCTCGAGGAGGTTTGAGGAGTTTGCTCGTTGAGGACAGTGCATACGATTGTTCGTGCAGCGGAAAAGACCATGAGACTAAACAACTTTCTGGAGTAGAAGCTATCTGCAAAGATGGACATGACATCTTGTCTCCTGGTCTCTTCGGCGAGAAACTTAGTGGGGTGATAAGTGGCAGGGTTGGCATCTTCATCAGCAAAAGCTGGCGGAGTGTACGTTCCTATGCAGAGGTATTCCTAGGTGGGTCTTTGCTGGTTGTTTTGGCTCTTCCGTTTGCCATGGCTATGTCAAAACTTTTCCTATCTCGTCCTGAACTTCCAGGATTAGTACCTACTTGAACTAATTGTGATTAACTTCCAAACTTCATACGAACACCGAACCGTTGTTGTATATCTACGAAGGCTGCAGAGGTGTGTGACGCTAATGCACTACAGGAAAGCTCTTGGCGCTTCTTCCTAGGTAGAATTTATTAGACTACTCAGTGTCCATCAGTGGAATCCTTGATATTGAAGTCCTTTACACTTCTCAGTAAAGTTGGACAAACGACACGTGTTTGCCTAAGTGGCCTATAAAAGACTTGGTGACATCAGGGGCACCATAATTGGGAATTCGGTTCTTACTTTTAGTTGACAGTGGTAAGTTCTTAACTTTGTGCGACGAAAGATGCCGTTTTGCCGGGAAGTGTAAAGATGGCGGCAAATGGTGGAAGGAGCGCCTGAAGGACGTGAATATAATCATGGGGAAAGAATTATTTCCTCGGCTGGCAACAGATTGGGTAGATAGAGGTGGTGTTTGCCAGGCCTGAAGATTTGCAGATTAGGCTTTTGTGAAGGCTGACAGGCAAAATGAACAGACTAAGCTGTAACATAACAACTTGGGAGGGTAGTTGGCTTTTGCCACCTCCTTTCTAGTTTGATGGAGCGAGTTTCCCTACTGGTTTTGTCTCGTTTTGTTGGAACTGCAAATGAATGACCCAGATCCCACGCTGCATTTGTATGCGACAAGCCATTCTGCCCACCATTTACGTGTACCCATAACAAGAATATCATGTGGCATGTCGTTAGTGATAGAAGGTTATCAAGGCGACGAAATTTCTAAAATTGTAGCGAAAGCCACGATGAAGAAAGGACTTGGTTGTCGAACGTGTGTATGCTGAGTGGCGATACTCATGCAGGTAGCAGGGAGTTCTATTGTCATAGGTGGTTTTCGTTTTGGCGTTGTGATGCCCTTTGTTATGAGATGTAGATAGATAAGCTACCAGTGGAAATGCGAGTTTTAAGTGTGTACAAGGACATTCAGAAGTTGAGTAAAGATTTGAATTGTTGTAGGTATAAACACCTTCATTTCAGAAATATTTCGTGGGCTAATAGTGGTACTTGGTTCGTTAACATTGCCCTCACTCTTATAGAGTATGGGAAAAATGGCATTATGTAATAAGATCATCAAAGCACGCCGCTAAAACAAAACGCTAAACACTTTCCAAAAAAAAATTAGTTTCTTCACTCAAAGTGAGAAAGGCATTTTAAGACGTAACCATGCCCACTCATATACGTTTTCATATATCTTTTTAATACATGAAAAATAACACTGAAAACTAACCTTAATTTCATTTGATAATCAGATGATAATAAACACAAGTTGTGCCAATCAAACTTTTTTTTAATAATTTGTTGGTTTCCTTATTATAGTATTGTACATCAGACTAGTTTCAATATATAATAATGATATAATTAGATAATTTTTGATAAAAATGATTTATAATGAGAAAAAATTATGAAATTATCAGTTCTTTTAAAATATGCAATAGTGTTTTAGTTTTAGTTTGTGATAAACTTCAATGAAACAGCTTTTTGAACATTTTCAATTTCACAAATTTTTTCTATCATACCGAAGTTCAAAATTACAAAACAATTCAAGCTAGCATAAAATAAAGCACTGAGAAAAAATAACATGCAATATACTGAATGTTTGAATCAAAATCTTTTTACAAACATATTATTTTATGAATGTATTAAACAAAAATTCAACCCTATATCATCAACAAGGAGAAGAGTAAACAGTAATAGATATGAGTGGTTCATATTCATGAGATTAGAACTCACGGTAACAGGATATAGAGTTACTAAAATCCTGAACTTCGTATCATTCATGTTTACGATTTGATAGTATTCAAAATAATTGAGATTAAGAACACTTAATTTTTGACAATACTTGATTTCTGTTTTGGATTCCATAATTTTGATTAGGATTGATATATAATTATTTTTCCAACAAAAATATTTAAGCAATTAAAATCCAATGTTATCACTATGTAAACTAGAATCAATTATCAACTAGAACTAGAACAAAATTGTAACTAGAATTATATAGAGTTAAATCATATATAGAGATAAAATAGATATCAATAGATTCAATGTTTGTTTCTTATGCTTAGTAACACAAAAACTTTTATACATTAATTTTTATAAATTTATTATTTGAATTGAATATATTGTCAATCTTGATTGGTTTAATCTTATATTTGAAATATAACTAAATGATATATATTTTCAATGTGCCTCTACTTGCAATCTATCATTTGATTTTTGCAAATTGTAATTAGATTTTATTATCATAATGTTTCAATCACATCTTTATGATAAGTATATTTAGTTGAATATACTATTTTGTTATTTTATTGTTGTTGTGCATTTGATTGAGCTATACATATTTGCAAAATAATCTTTTAACAACTTTATTTTCAAATGTATACATATATCAAGTTGTAAATTAAACGGTCCAGATCATATACGCGATGAATATCAACATTGACTAAACATAGTTCTACATGTTTAACAAATCATCTCATAATACATGAAAATATTTTTTGAAAGAATTTGAATTATGAAATGCATTTCATTGAAATTGATGAGTCTACTTTTATAGCTAGAGAAAAATGTCCCTAGCTATAATCACATCATTAAATCCATGGGTTTATTTACTTACTTTACATACAAATTTGAGTACATTTGTTTTTTTTCAACAAAAATCAACATCACATTCAGTTGCAATAATTCTACATTGAAATTGTGAGAAAAAGTTTTTTTTCAACACAAAAATTTGCCAAACAAATCTTAAATGTGACATTGTGATTAAATCTTAGTTTTTTAAAATAAAATTTTTCTTTTAACATCCAGATTTTTCTATTAATTGTGTCATTTAACTACTTCATTATAAATTCATACTTGATTTGATACTTGCATATATAAACATTATATATTTTTTTAGCCATAATAATCATATACTTAAGAAATAAAATTCAAATAATGAATCTGGAGCTATATTTATTTTGTTCATCAATGCATTTAGATAAACATACCATACCATGTCATTGCATATGAATTTACTTCAATCTATATAATTTTTAATCATATGAAAAAAATTATCTCGATGTTTGTTTTTCAAAGCCAATTGGATGTCTAACGTGAATATTTGCATACAAATATTTTTAAAATTGACCTTTAGAAATATTAATTTGATCAACATTTAAATCTAATTTCTCAATAAATGCACATGTAGCAGTAACAACTAACATAACAACTAGTAGTGTTAACACACTACTAGTGTGTTACAAGTCCCGTGTTAAGTCTTGAGGACTCTGTAAATGAATAACATTATGATCATAAATGAAACTGTTCTTTACGAAACAAATGTTGAATCCAAGACAAATTTGACTTTAACGTTATGTACTTTTTATATTTGTAGAGAAATCACTCTCTCATAAAGATTCACACCGGATGAAATTAATTATGCAAATCAAATCTAGACCAAATTCGGTATCCAGTAATATCATGAAATCTATTTCCTGACAAATCCAAAAAAATAATACTAATTTAATACATAATTTAAATCAATGTTTTTAATTATGGTAATTCCGAGTACCGCAGTAGTCCCATATAGTTCTTTTGGTTCCACGCTTGACATGGGACTCGCTCTTTTCTAGGGCTAGTATCTCCATGCCATGAACGGACAGACGCCGGAAGCGAAGATGGACCAGATTCCTCACGGGGAAGAGAGAAGAATATTTAATTGTACGGGCGGTCGGAAAGACGGAGTAGCAGAGGAGCCCGTTTTCTCGTGCAAAAGCGGATCATGTAGAGCTGAGACGGTCTCATGTTGCGGTGGAATCGCGCTGAGCGTTTGAGGTCGTGAGGAGCGATATGTTCCGGCGAGCTGCCCTGGGCTCCGAGAAAGCTGCCTGCCATGCGCGATCTCCGAAGTGACGGGTTCTGAACTCGAATTTCTGGCCCGCGACAGGAGTCCCTAGGAGTGGAGACGAGCGGAGAGGTCGAGCCGTCGAGACTGGTATCTGGTGATCGTGGGGGAGAGGCCCGACCGGCAGAGATGGAAACTTCGAGCGGGGAACCGACCTCGAATGGATTCGTGAAGCCTCCTGACTTCCGTCGAGAGGAATCCGGCCGGGGAGGAGCAGCTGTGGAAAGTAATGGGCACGGGTTGGGGATGGGCTTGACTTTGCGGTTAGTGCAGGAGCTGGAAGGGCATTCCGATAGAGTGTGGAGTGTGAGTTGGAGTCCATCTGGTCATACTCTCGCCTCTTGCAGTGGTGATAAATCTTGTCGACTTTGGGAAAATTTAACCACGTCGCCTTCCTCGTCAACGTGGAGGTGTCAGGTTCGATCTGCTCACAAATTGTCTACAAATTCAGAAATCTTTATCCCTCCATATGCTCTTGCTGGGTTCGTAATTTACTCGAGAAATTGATCGGAACTAAATGTTCCTCACAGAGCAGGTTTCTATTGCTATTTGGTTTCTTCTTTGGTTTTATACCATAACGAAAACTTTTCGATTTAATTTATATCTGCGTCCTGTTTGTGAGCGGTCCACGTTGCTTTGGTGAATTCTCCGAATGTTCTTCAGCAACTTCAGCAACTACTGTCACACTCTGATGTTTGAGCTATGACTTGATCTTAGATTCGACCTATCCAGATGAAATTCAGGCGGCCTCATCTTAAATCCCTCATTGTAAAATGACACGCCCGGTGATTTTTACTAGCTTTAACAAAAACCAAAAAATTCTGAACTTTGCCTTAGACCCACTCAGTTTCATAGAAACAATCTTGTTTCTGTAAAACATGATTGACCAGCTCCATAGTGGTTATGACCTTTTTGCTATAATTTGTTTACACGATTCTGCATTTTAGTTCGTGTCCTTACTGGGTATAAACATTTGCAGTGTTTATGACAGTCAGCCTCCACCTTTTTTCCTTTTTGTATAGGCAGTCTTGGAAGGTGGTCACACACGAACAATAAGGTCATGCGGCTGGTCGCCTGATGGGAAGCTTCTTGCCACGGCAAGCTTTGATGCCACCACTGCTGTTTGGGAAGTAACTGGAGGTGAAATCGAGAACGTTGCAACCCTTGAGGTGATTCAAAGAAGAAATGACTGATGACTTGGCTTGCTGTGTCATTGTAAAGCGCTTATGCTCAAATTTCCCAATAGATCTGACTCGTGTGATTCCAATTCTCTTATCCCAATTACATCAATCAGATTTCGCTCATTCTGATGTGCCATTGACAAACTCAGGCTATGGTGGTTGATTCTCTGTCCTTTCCTCCTGACACAGGGCCACGACAACGAGGTGAAAAGTGTCGCTTGGAATTCTTCTGGGACGTATTTGGCAACTTGCAGCCGTGATAAACACGTTTGGATTTGGGATGTACAGCCAGGAAATGAGTTTGAGTGCATGTCTGTTTTATCTGGCCATACACAAGACGTTAAATTCGTAGCTTGGCACCCAACCAAAGATATTCTGGTCTCAGCCAGTTATGATAATGCCATCAAGGTCTGTTTCCATCGACCTCTATGATTTATGAGTAGTGTGCCAGTACTTATGTCAGATTTGACAGTGTTCATCTTTGAACATACTTGAGAGTTCACTTCTTAATGTTTATGTGAAGTTATCACAGAGAATACAAGTAGGTCTTAAAAGTCCAGTTCCGTCCTGTTGTCAGTTTACAACACTAGCTATGGTGAGAATCAGCTTGTTTCGATGGTAGTGAATGAAATTAGAAGTACGACAGGACGACACTGCTTATATCGTTCACTTACATCAATAGATTTACAAAATTATCTATATTTGTGTATAGACAAAAGTATTAAGAGATGTGAAGTAGGTAATTTGTTGAAGGACTTTTCAGTGATTCCCCATAGCTACTTGCAGGTCTGGGCAGAAGATGGCGACGGAGATGATTGGCGATGTGTCCAAACTTTAGCTGAACCTGGACGGTATGTCAAAATCGTTGTGTATTGTAACTGAACAAATGTTGTTTATTATCTTTTCGATGCATGCATCAACGTCTAATGTTGACGTCTGTGTTTTCCTTGTGGTGAGAGCATGATGAATTTCCGAGTGTATTCTTATATCCTCCACCGAGTATTCGTACATGCTCTCAGTCATAGACCTGCTTTGTCATTGCTTTAAAGCTTGGAAGCATCTATCATTTCTGTATTCTGTGCGGAGGATACCATAGTGACGTCGTTATGTTTCCATCATGCTTTAGGGGTCATTGCTCTACTGTCTGGGCTCTTGCTTTCGATAAAGATGGTGACCGTCTGGTCTCTTGTAGGTAAGTTGCCTCCATGTCTTTGTCCAGTCACTTGATACTTGACGTTTTGATCTTGGTTTCAAAGGCTTCTACAACCGCTCTACTCACAATTGTACCGAGGTTTTTTAGCATGCCGTCGGCAAAATACGTGCGCTTTGTATAGCGGCTACGACTAGAAAGTTTGCAAAGTTGCCTGACAGGATTTTGAGACGACACAGCTAGAGGAAACTAATAATGTTAGAGAAAGTGAAAAGCATTTAAGTTGTATTGATAACTTCTTCCACCTTTTTTGAAGTTGTTGTCGTGATGTCGCAATTGACACATGTGTTGTATTGCAACGTTGTGTTCACAGCGATGACTTGACACTGATGGTCTGGGATACGAGCGCAGATTTGGCAGACTTGTCAGGATCCGGTCAAGCTCAATGGTTTGTTTTCAATTTATATTTAATTATACAAGGGATGTTGCCCTTCATATCAGTTGTGTTTTCATTTTTCGTAGCGCTCCTATGGTTGTTGTTCAATTCTTTCACATCATGACGGGCTATTTTCTTATAGTTCGGTGGCCGCGACTTTTAGGAAGCATTCAACCACAATATCTGGGTACCACGATCGGACCGTTTTCTCTGTACATTGGTCAAGGTTTGAATCTCCAGAAACAAACTCCCCCTAGATTGCGAATATGAACCAGATTTGCATCGTGGTCACTGGCTACTAACTTTCGTTCAATTTATCTGTACCCATGCAATGTGAGCTGCAGAGAATCTGAACCTTGATATAGTATGTGTCCATCCACTGTCTGCGTTTATCAAGTCTGCCGTGTGTGTGAGACCTTAACAGCATATTTATTTCGAATAATAGTTGAAAACGATGTATTGTATGCTTGATCACATGTGCTTTTAATCAGAACCATTAATCGGCAACACGATATTAAGATCATGGTACTTGGAATCGTGTATATGATCATGAGAAATCAGTCCACAATTAGTACATGAATGTTAGAAATGTAGAGCACAGTTAGCAAAATACGGCCAAGGGTCGTTTTATCAGTCAATATTCATGTCCTACTATCTCAAGTACCGACAAACGTTTACCAACACTTTTATGCATCAGCGGGTCTCTAATCTTCAGGCTATGACAGGCCATATTATATTCTTGAGGACAGTTAACTTCAAACAGTATCCCGCGTTAGCATTTTGATAATGATGCATGATATATGCCGTTTGCTGAATTATGCGCTTGCATATATTTCAGTTTAGTCGATATACGGGTGTTAAGTATTTAGAAAGAATTTCTTTATTAATGATAGGTTCTTGTTTTTATCGAGCAGGGTTAATGGCCTAATTGCCAGCGGTGCTGCAGACGATTGCATACGTATATTTGCTGAAAACCGAGAGGATTCGTCCGCACTGCCTGTACGTATTCAGCTGAATGTCTTCATATTATTCTTCCTCACAATACTGAGTGCGTTCTGTACATGGTCAATTTCAATTTCGGACTAGCCCATGCAACTACGTCAATTTATAAAACTGATGTAAAACTCATTTTTTCAATTATAATTTAACTACTTTGAGAAACCGAATTGTATTCCAAGGGAGATTGCTTAGTGGCAGGCCTCTCCATTTTTGTTGCTTTTGATTCTTTCTGTTCTGCAGGGAGAAAGCAGTTTCAGTATGGTGGCCAAAAAGGTGAAAGCGCACAGTACCGATGTGAATTGCGTGCAGTGGCATCCAACGGTAGGTTTTTTACGACTAAGTCCTTTTTGTTGCATTCAACTTTAAGCTTCTCTACAGAACTCAGCTTTGGAGAGAATGACGAGAGTAATCGTATGTTGTTTACCAACAGGATCGGTTTCTTATCAAAGTATCTCTGCATTGAGTTTTGTTTTTAAACAGTACAAAGTATTGCAAAAGGCACTCTGAACAGCTCTTGGCAATGTTGCAGCATTGTACCCTATTTTACATACCCTATTTTACATAATTTACTATCTACGAGAGATTTGGCGAATATTAGGACTTGATACTTTAGGGTCATGATATCTTCACAGTTGACATGAGGACCTTGGTACCGTGATGTTCACTTTGGTGACGCACAAGAGAGGATATTCACTTCGCAACACCTTGGTCAGATCGGCCAGATGGGAGCGAAATCCATCTGTTACGCATGGCATGAAGAGTATTCGTCAGAGTATCAAAGTTCTAAGATCCTCAAAGAGGCTTTGAAAGAACGAGGTAGCCAAGATCAGAGAGGAATGAAACAAAAATTGCGTCTCGAGTTACTCTCTCTAAGGAGCACTGTAGCCAAGATTAGAGAGCTGTTCGGTTTATTATCTACAATCTCGTTTAGTTTCCTGTGAACAGTATTTGTTGTGTTCAATTGGAGACGTTATCTGATGCGCTAACAATGCTCCACCTACTGACGGTGTGGGCAGTCGTTTTTATCTAATTCTTTCTTCTTTTTGCTTTTGCCCAGGATCCGAGAATATTAGCCTCGGCAGGGGATGATGGAACGATCAAGATATGGGAAGTCATCGGAGACCTATCTCTTGTCGGCTAAGAAACTGATATGTTCATGATTCTCGTGTCTGGGCGAATCTTCCGAGCTCTAACTAGACAGATTTCCCTGCCTTCAGTAACTGACTTGAATACTTCCCTTGTTCTCTTCAAGGTTTGCATGTTGAGGAGAGGCGGTTGCCTCTATTTATATGCACGATATGTACATATGGTCATTATATGTACATATGTTCATTACTTTCTGTAGGCCTGGTCTCTGAAGAGGACTACTGGTTGATCTTTCACAACGTAGGGTTGGTTTTCCAGGGCCGTTCAACTCGCTTTGAGCGCTATTTGAAAAGGCCGAAGGTAAATCTAACTTCTTCAATTTTCGGCTCCTGTCCTTGTTGAGTTTGATCAAGTAGCGGTCAACAATCTGTTCACTGAGCCGGAATTGTAGGGAATACATGAGACGCATGTGCCATGTGTTGCTTGCCAAAGAGTATCTGGTTTCGAAAGATTACTCTCCAGCCTACATACTACATTGGTAGCGATATGAGGTTAGGACCCATCCCCGGGTGCACAGTACTCCCGCGACATGCCCGTGCACTGAGCTTCATAAAACTCAAAGTTCAACAAGCGCAAGGGCGCAAGGGTGCAAGGGTGAGCAGAATCATCAGCGATTCGGGGACATCGGAAACGTCTTGTACATTCAACGCGAGCTGTATTATGCAGGTGAAAGCAATTGGAATTACTGTTGTAAACCTTGCGGATTTAGAGGGAGTAAAGGGTGTGTGACTAACTTTGCTGCCGCACTGAATACTTGAATACTCAAGTTCGTGCTGACAATTTGCTCATTTCAATAAATCTCTTTACACCTTTTCCACTTTCTTGGCGAAATGTTTTTCCTAGACCTTTTCCCTACAGTCATGTGACCTTAAAAAACGGAATTGGAAGTATGGATACGATTGCATAATTAGCCTGTATAAGGAAGCGATTTGAGGTATATTGACACAATTGTTTGATACTCTCAAAACGTCTTGACGCTCCGAGTTATATCAAGGTAATATATTCTGATGATTTATACCCCATCAATGATGGCTGTGATATTCATTGTGAAACATGATCTGGACATGGAATGAAGTAACGGGGCACACGCGTCAATACCTGTTGGTTTTATTTGTGATCTTCCTCAGCAACTTTCCAATATTGTCATCATTTCGCAAAATCTGACGGTAAACACAAACAAGACGAGTAATGTACATGAGCTAGACACAAGTTCAAAACAAACCTAACACACCTCGGCGGTGACAATTGCGTACAATGATATAGAGAATTTTGGAGTGGAGCCTCTGCAGAAATTTGAGAGACGCGACGAAAACCATGACTGATGACGTGCATTACACAGGCTCGGACCATGAATAAATGTGGGAAGGTATATTACCTATCGACGCCGATAACTAACACGACGTAACACAAAAACTTGAAAGTAGAAGTAAAGTATTTTCCAGTAGGACATTTTCGACATTGCCTAACTTGATAATGAGTACAGCTGTGCAGAAACTATCACCACCCGTAAAGTAGTAAGTGTCTAGGCATAGTCTCTCCAAGTCCGTGTGGCCCTGGCTTACATCAATTCTTCAAAAGGACCTCACAACTCACAACAACATGTTTACATCTGTGACAACCTGAGCCTTGAGGGAAATTATGAGCTGATTTTGGCGCCGTATTTCTTCATCGAGTTCGAGAACTTTACCAGACTCAGCTTGAAGCATTTCTTCCGTGATTCTGCCGCACGCAAAAGTTGATCCGGTAATTACGGTTCGAAACTTACCCAAAATAAGCATATTTACAATTTGATTAGCCTCCATCCAACCCAGAAATGTCCTCTCAGAAAGCATCGCGTATCCTCGTGATGTAGAGGCAATCCATGTATGTAGGCTCAATACGATAAGAGTACTAAATGGTGTATTTTATCCATCTTCATGTCAATATATGCTCGCTTCTTTTGCAAAATTTTCTCACCTTTTCTCTTCCTCCACTTTGACAGCGTACGTATCTCGTTCTTTTATCCAGAATTGATACTCCTTAATCATGATTTCTGTATCTTCCTGCGGGGTTCAGAATAACAGAGATCACACTATGGAGCTCACACACTCCTTATGAGGGAATGTGAACTTGCGTTCAGACTCGTTCACCACTGAAACCAAGATTAGCCAACCCATGGCTTGAGTTAGCCTCAGTTGGTAACCAACCCAACTGATGGTAAAGGTTGAGAAACATTTGAAGGTATTCACGTCAGATGAAGTGGGCATATGATAGATCCAATTCTATAGCAAGTAGACCGCAATCCTCTCGAAGATCAGAGGAGTAGTGAGATCGAAGACAACCCACCATACAGTAATACAGATGGTAGATGTTTGACGGCTACAGACTATGAGGCAATGGACCTACTGACCCTTATGTATATGAGGACAAGGATACATTTTTATTGAAATAGATGAGAGAAAAAGATGTTCACAGCCTTTCGATGGGGCGCCTACAAACAGAAACCTTAGTACTTCATTACAAACTTGGAAAGAGTCAACTACAAGATACCTGCAGGTGGTCAATAGATTTTCCGAGAGGATTCACAGTTTGGCATAGAACTTGAACAGCTTCCCTTAACTTCCGAATCTGTGTGGAGCCTTCAATGAGAGAACCGAATCAATGCCGAATCCACATTAAACTGTCGAAAGACGGTTGCTTCATGGAGAGTTGGAGAGTCAAAACATCAAATAGCGACTATGTGGAGACTCCTAGCGACGATTGAAAGTTGATCGTTGAAATTTTGTAGACCAGCTTGAGATCATTCAGAACCAGTTTCCTTGGTATGTTTACGTGATAAATCAAGATAAACCAATTATACGTGCAGCCAGTAAGACCCACCTCTTCTTTTCTTGATTGAACATCGCCTTTTTTAATACTCGTCCCTCGTATTTGGCCCAGTATGATGCCTGTCTCCTCAGCACCGTCGCTACAACCTCCATGCTCATCTCCCTGAATTTACAACTTAATCACTCCTGTTTATCTGAATCCTAACAGGCTGGCTGCATCCTATAAATCCACTCTTTTGACAAGAATCCAAGTTGTTTGGGCCACTTCTTTGTTGGATGAAAGCCCAAGATCTTTCATACATTACATGAATATTAGCCCCTGTCGACCGCAGGAACAAATCGATGAAGTGGAATTGAGAAAAGGACTGAATCTCATGTGGATCTACTCTCTTTAATGTGATATCTAATTCTTACGTACTAACGACAATGTAACATTTGTGGAACATCTCCCTCAAACAATTTCAGTTTGCAATGAAGTAGCATAGCAATAGCTCCACATACTTGCTCTGAAAGATCTGTCGTGTGTTCGAGTATATCACGAACTAGCTTTCCAGCTCCTTCAACAGAGGTCAGCACTGTTGTCTGCGCACTAGACTTTATCAGCTATGATAGGAAATATGTGATTACTCGGCACATCGTTTTCTCACAAGACATAAACTTCACATAACAATCAGTACACAACGATTTGAGTTGTTCCCATGACCTCCTGCATGCTTGGAGGCGGTAGAAGAATAGGCATGTTCTCCTGCTCGTCCTCGTTCACCTCTGCGGCAAGAAGGAAACTTGGCTTCCTAACTGGTTCAGAAGGTGGAGCATTCATACAAATTAACCTCCTGCCGGACATAAAGAACTGATGAGGTTCATTTCAAGGTAGAGTCACAGCAAACAGAAAAGCAGTAACGTTAAAGCAACTGGGATCTCCTGAAGGCAAAGAACTCGTCTTATGAATGCAGATCTATTATAACTTTTTTTCACTCTCCAGTGAACGTAATCCGTACACGACAACGTTCTTCTTCACTACAATCGTGGTTCTTTTCTCACAAGAGAAGGCTTTGTAAAATGCGCAGGATTTGATTCGCTGATCCTTTTCTTATGAAGTTTTATAACAAAACCTAAATGCAGTTACTTCATATCATTCAAACATGGCTTGAGAGTTAGTTGGCATACGCTGAAGCAGGCCTCTCCAACAGCGTTGCTTGCGCTTCTTTGGCTCCACCCTAATTTCTTACGGGGTTAAAATCATGGGGACAAATGGTTATATAAACATTAGATTCTGACCAGATCAATTAGAACCCGTTGTACGGGGAGCACAACTATAGCCAACCAACTTGGGTTTAGTACAAGCACCCGTAGAGACTTGATACGAGCAACTGGACAAAAAGGGTGGGATACATTATTCGGGTAACAAGATCTTACAAAGGCTTTGTTGCACAAAGTTTAGGTGGGTTGGAAGCTAGAAAACTCTTCAAGAAAACTTGGAAATTTTTTCTGAATCAGAGGAGAGTAGAAGTCAATTGTCTTCAGTAGAAACGCTGAAGGTTCATAGAAAAGTTGAATAAGGTTCTACCTTGTCTAAAGCACTGCGCACAACTGGAGGCGCTTTCCTCGCTGACTGAGGCCTTGCTGACTGGGGTCTTTGTGAAGTACAGACCGCAGGTGCTCGAAAACGTGGAGTTGAACACAAGCGTGGGGTTGGTGCTACAGAATCTTCAACTGCCGCTGTTTCTTTGGTTTCTGGAATCACGACAACAATTCGGCACTCAGGCACAAGTGACCGCACATAGAGCAGAAGCTGATACAATATGTTATGCACGTTATTCACTGAGCAGATCATCGTATAGAGATGTTTAGAGGCAGAGCCTGGTGGTTTCCTATTTCTATATTTCTATTTCTATTTCCATTTACCATTTATAGTACTTCAGGTAAGCTACTGTTGGCTTGAGTTCAAAGAGGAATACGGTAAACGCCCCGACATGAGCATGAACGCAACGAAAGAACAACTTAACGCAACTGGGACACAACCGCTTACATACTTCTAATGTCAAATTTGGTTTGAAACTGGATAAATAGAATGACATCAACGACCCTTGTGAGGAGTCTGTTCTGCGACAGCTTCACTTAAATCTCAAAAATGGATTCTAGTTCTCCCCCTAGTAGCTATCCATCAGGACTTCCATGACATACCGTTGCAGGACGGTACAGCACTGACTGATCTTGCATACAATCCAACTGAAGCAGGAGCACGAGGAGATGGCTGTGAAGTATCTGTGACAGCGGTTGTTTTAATCGATGCTTCACTGTTCGATCCACAACCTGGTGCAGGTGCTGGTCTGCTCTGTCGTACAATTTTAGGAGTAATCTCTTTCGATGTCGTTCTACGGGTAAAGGCAGGAGAAAGCTCGCTGGAAAGGTTGTAAATAGCTCTGGGAACCGCGTGAGGAGTTGGAACGAACTCCGGCAAAGTGGGAGAGGTTTCTAAACTTGCATTCAAAGATTGCTCGTCAACTCGTTCTTGGTCGGATGAGGAAATCCCACCCGACCTGCAAGAACTGGACACCTTAGGAACTTGATGGGATGCTGGTTCCATATCTGTTAGCCCCATAATCGTACTTCCATCAGGTAGCCTTTTCGTAGATGAAGACTCTTTGTCTCTAGTCTGGGTGGCCTCGATTTCTGAATCCGGCGTTTGAGGTAGCTGCTGCTCGGACGCCAGGGACGCGTCTCTAGCTGTCATAGCCTCACTTAAGCTGTGCCACAACATCCAAGTATCAACACACCTACCTTTTTCTGCTTAGGATAACAAAACACCTTTTGAGAACTGTTGTTGAGGTTTCCTCAGCTTTAACAACGAAGAAGCGGGTAAGAATCTAATTCATATATTATAGAACATACAGATTAGCCCCTCATAGCCTTTTACGTACTCGCAGTCAGCGAAAATGTGTCCAAATGCAATTTCCAGAGTTGGTTAACACTTAAAGCCCTTGAAATCAAAGGCCATATCTGCAAGTGCTTGGAACCTATGGTTACAGTAAATAAAATAACGATAACACATGGGATACACATACACACACATCTGGAACTGCTGATCAAGTAGGGTAAAATAATATATAAGACATGGGACAGTAAGAGAGCATGAAAAGACAGTCACGGAAGAGATATGAAGATAAGAGCTCTCATTGAATACAGAAATGAGGAATAAATAGAATCTCTCAAGGGCAGGAAACAGATGCCTACAGCTGAATCCACTCAAGCCCACTGTGAGAAGGTGGAGGCTGTTTCTCTCCGGCCAACACGCGAGCAACGGCTCTTTCACTATGTTGTCTGTCAACCATTGTTGCAGCTGCAAGCATCTGCGTTGAAAATCGTCATCAGTAAAAGCTATGAAACTCTTCGCCCACTGAGATGACAAAGTAAGTAATGAATCCATAGTATCTTTATATATGTTTGTGTTCGAAATACGCCTAAAGTGCAGAGGCCAGGTCTGTACAAGTAGACCGCCTGTAGGCTTCAATCGGGAGGTGTGAAATCAGCTGATTGTCAGTCCGACGTACATGCATAGATTACGTGGGGCAACCTCCATATTACTTTTATATGTAAATACTTTTAAATATCTTTTACTTAAGTAACGTAGCTCTCAGCACTTCAAGGATGAGTGTCCACATTCCCTTCAGTGTGGATTCTCGTCAGCGTATGAGTTTCTTGCCTGCTGCTGCATCCCTGACGGCCTCTATGATTCCTACTAATAAGTTCAAGTACGATTTAGTAGCAAAAGAGAATTCCATTTTCTTTTCTTTCTTTCCTTCTGTGTCCCGTTCTTGTCTCATCCTTCCGTTCTTGATCACTACCAGAATGAATGTGCTTGCCTGGAGAAAGACATTGGTCTGCTCTGGCTCCAGACCTGCAACGATCTGGAAACAATATCACACTATCAACCATATTCCATAAACTAAGGAAAGCCGTTCTAACTTCGAACTTCCATCACGATATCTTAATTCATATTTCTTCTACAAATCAGCGCATACAATTCTAATGCCCATAAGAGTCAAACCATCCTCGAACGAAGGTATATGGAGACAGGACAAATATAGCAATACCTTGAGGGGACGAGCAGGAACATTAGTATTGAGAGTTATCCCAACGCAGTCCACAATTTTCCACAAGTAGGCGACCTTGCTTTCTTTCTCCTGAAGATCGCGTGACATCTGTCAGCTTCCACTGAAGAGCTGAAAAGAAAGGTTGGTGTATTTACAGCGAGAGAAGCCCTTATTATCTTGATGCGAATCTCGCTAACGATACTTGTTTATTAGCGTTGCTACTCTGATCAATGCAGTTACATAATGAGTAATTAGATATGGGCATGCAGAAAGGACTGCTGTCCTTAAGGTCCAGTCTGTAGCTATCATATTGTCGAAGTCACTACAGAGGGTGATTCAAAAAGCTCCAAAACCTCCATATTGTGATGGAAAAAAAGTTCACCTTTATGTTTGTCGAGATAAGTTCCACTGAAGAGCTGAAAAGAAAGGTTGGTGTATTTACAGCGAGAGAAACCCTTATTATCTTGATGCGAATCTCGCTAACGATACTTGTTTATTAGCGTTGCTACTCTGATCAATGCAGTTACATAATGAGTAATTAGATATGGGCGTGCAGAAAGGACTGCTGTCCTTAAGGTCCAGTCTGTAGCTACCATATTGTCGAAGTCACTACAGAGGGTGATTCAAAAAGCTCCAAAACCTCCATACTGTGATGGAAAAAAAGTTCACCTTTATGTTTGTCGAGATAAGTTCATCTGCAGTAAAGAGTCCCCGCGCAAATCCAGTTTGTCGGCACAACTGTACAAGCATAGTACGACGTTTGAGGAAATGCTACTCACAATTGGCAACTCCCGAGTAGCTCTGCTTTCCCAGAAGCGAAACTAGTACAAAGAACAAGAAGAACGAACGTAGCGATTGCACATCTCTGTTCGTCTTGTTGTCTGTACTGGTTTGGCAGGAATGTCGTGTGATGATGAATGATAATCCTACCACGATGAAAGGGATGTAGGAAATACAACTTCCCCATAGTGAGCACGTCTGGGACTCTAAAATTCGATGTTCAGGAGCTATAGCAGACAGAGACGAGCAACGCAAGACTGCAATGTTGTAAGATGATGATCAGGACGGAGTGGGGCTTTGACGTGTCAAAAACACCAACTAGAACGTGCACTTGGTGTGTACAAGCATGACTCATCCACCGATGGGATGTTCCATTGCGCTACGTTGTTGACAACTTCCACTGGACATGGGTGGAGATAGATGCCTATGTTGTTACAATCAATGTGCATCTTTTAACAAGTTCGTCAATTTCGGGAAAGCCGAGTCAGTGGAATTCGAGCGAGATGAGCACCTCCGAAATCACATCGTGCAAAAATCGAAACGGGGGCTTCTTCAACAAAGCTTCCGTCAACTTCGGCCGCCTCACGAGCGGAGGTTCTCCTTGCAGCACCTTCTGAGTGGGCTCCCAATACTCCATTTAAAACCAAAATTTGGCAACCCTGCCTTTCTTCCTTGCTCACATCGACTGAGCCCTCACCACACGCTCATACACATCACAAAACGATCTCCACAAATAACCAAGTTTTCTCTCACAGGCCAAGAAGATGCAAGGCTGCGATGACATTCCCCAGAACATGGCTGCACACATGTAAGGCCAAGGGATCGAATCCAAACAACAGTCACGGTGAAACCCAAAACAAGGCAAAGTTCTCGAAGGACATGGGTTCAATCCGTGCGAAATCGAACCCTCGCAAAAGTAGCTGACATTTTCTATCGTCCGCGATGTCGAGAGACAACATTCCTTTAGTGCACTTTGCGAAACACGTGAAATTACGATGTCAGACTGCCCCAAAACACAAGTCGGAGAAGCGACACGAGCGAGTGTCGAGATCGTTCTCAGACAATTCTTGCCTCCGGTGTCCTGTGCTCTCTTTACCGGTCAGGTGTGGCCATCACCACAGTCGACGTGCTGGTGCGATTCATAGTTTCCATTCCCGGGAACTGCGTGGTTACAGTGAAATGTCGATGGGCGAAAAGCGTCACGCAATTTTCCACAGGTGTCACTGGTCAACTCACGCACACAATGTTGCATTGCACGCATTTGTCGTAACTATAGTGTTGCACCCCTCTCTCTCTCCTTTAAATATTATAATAACAAGAGGGCCGTGCAGCTCATCAAGGGTTACATGGATGAACCATGGTTTCGCGATGTAGTACATTTCCAACCGATTTTCCAACCAAAATTGATTAAATAAATTTGTCTTACAATTGTTACGTAAGAAATTTAAATTACCCTAGTAACTCTATATTTCCAATTTCTTGAACCTCCTACGAAATACAATGTTATATATTCTATGATATCAACTCCGTAGAGTTCATAGTTTATTGTGTTTTGATGTCAACCGTAAATTTGATTCCAATTGTCGCTAATTAATAAATTTCATGTTTACTCACATGCTATCTAATTAAAAATTTGATTTTTTTGGATTTTCCAAGTGAAATCAACCTAATCAATTGTTATAATAATGAAGAATGTTGTCCATTTTGGACTAAAAATCTTTAAATATTTAAGTTAATTTTAATTTAGTCAAGTTTAATTTCCATTTAATCTGAAAAATATGTTCAAGATTGGGTAGTTTACAGCTACTGGTCCAAACTCTAAAAATATATTCATGAAATATCGACTCTCTTTTCACCACACTTGAAATTAAGAAAAAAATGTTGAGTTTAATTCCAATTAATGAGTATCCTCTGATACTAGCTATTTATGGCTGAACGGTCGTGTGAACCGAGTATAAATACCTCTGAGTTCACCTTGTACAGTGAATCTTTTTGGATATGACCTGAAGTAGAGCGTTGAGAGTTCTGGATAGCTCAACGCTCAAGAATTACACGAACACAAATATAATGAGTTCACCCTTAGCTAGATGGACATAGCCCTCTAGCTAAGGGCGAATCACATTATTTTTGTGTTCGTGTAATTCTTGAATTTTACCGTCTAAGAAAAAATATTCTAACAATTTATCATGAAAATATTACAAATAACTTCATGTATTTGATGATATGTTAAGATTTGATATTACTTTAACTCTAGGCAGGATGACCAGATACAAAACAAATGTAGCGAAGGTGCATTGAAAACCAATGAAGTAAATTATTAGTTATTTGAAAAATTAAGACTTATAGTATTTTACTCTATGATTTATTAGACAATGTCAAAGTCTTGCTAGATTACGTTATTATTAATATAGACAAAATATTGACAATAGAAAATATACAACTTGTTATGTATTTATCCTTGATGATAAATGCATTGATTGAAAATTTAATTCGCAAAAGTTTAATATAAACACTTTGCTATAAATATGTACCGTAAGCAAAACTTGAAACTATTTGATTGAATAGATTTATCACTAAGATGATAACAAAACATAAATGTATTAATCTTCATTGTGATAATTAGAGTGCGTTGCATCTTGTTGCAAATCAAGTGATAAATATCAGAATGAAACATATTGACATTATATATTACTTTATCAAAAATAAAATTTATGATAAAAATATTGATTTAGTCAAGATTAAATTTATCAAAAAATTGATGATAAATTTAATCTAGTTTATGTGTTGATTAAAGTTTTGTTTTTGGAGTGTTTTAGAATACAATGTGCTACTTTGTAGATTTTGCAAAAGTAGCACAAGTAGAGTTTATTATCTATATTTTTAATTTTTATACATTTATAATTCTATCCTTATTATATTACAATTCAATTCTAGTAAGCTCTGGTTAAAGAAATATCAATGTCATATTTCACTTTTTAAGTTTTGAGTATAATATACGAAATATATTGTTCACACATATGAGTTGATAATAATATCATTAGTATCAATTCACGTTTAACTCTTATTAGTTTAATACTATGTAAGATTGGATTTAGTATTTTTTTAACTTAGTTGGGGTTTATGTTGTTCACTGTTAAATAGCAAGTCATAGTTTTATTTGGAATAATTTATTTTCAATTTAATCTTTTGGTATTCGTGTATGTAGTCCGAAATTGGCAAACTATGTACTTTTGTGTCAACGTTGTGTGTGTTTGAGTGTTTGAGTATGCTTGTATTTTCTTGAATTTGTATTATTTATGTTTGAAGATTTGTGAATATTTTGACAAAAATTGATTAAACAATCATTATGTAAAAAATTAATAGAAGATCTCAATCACAAAAATTAGAGTAATCTTATAAAGTTTGTTGTATTTTTGTGCATAAAGTTCAAAGAGATGAATCACATAATTTATTTTTTCAACTATGTGTATTTACAATGTTTGATCTCTAAAATGATTATTGTATGTGTGAAGTTATAGTAGAATTACTGAAAATTTTTACCATGATTAGCTTAATTATGAATAGGTATAACTAATAATGACTAAGTTTAGCTCTGATGTCTATATTTAGAGTAATATTATGATAATTATAAAAATTTCAGTCAGAATCAGCATTACTATTTTATCTTTGATTAAAGTCTAAATTTGAAAGAAAAAAAGCTTTGAATACATATTAGTTTTGATTGACGGAGAAATAAAATTTTAATTGAGTAGACTGCGTCTAAAGTTGCTTTAATGGTGAGGGAAAGTTTTAGATTTTTGAAAGTTTCAATTGGCATGTTGTCATTTCAACCTAAAGACTAGGAAAATTTTAAAAGTTTAGCTAAGTCAATGACATATAACCACGTCATGGGAATTAATCAAACCTATCAAGGTATTTTTAGTAAAAGTAAGTTTAACGATAATTGAGAAGTGTTATCATGATAATTTTTCATCTAAATAATGATGAAGAGGTTAAAAATATATTCTCAAGCAAATTTATGAGTTTATTGTGTGACAACTTGTTTCATTAATAGAAGCTTGAGTTATATTATCATCTTCGAATGTTGATGAATGTTCAAAATTGAGTGATAAAATGTAGAGATGTGTGAAAGTGTGTTTGAGACATAAGCAAGTAGAGTTATACTTTTCTTTTAGTATCATGATGAGCTACAGAAAAGTCATATGAGGTAAACCTTGAGTTAGAGTCAACACGGAGGTCATTGGACAGTATTTTGATTTTATGGTGTCGGACAAAACAAAGCTTGGGGCTCTGTCTGACAAAAAAACTGCTTACACCGGAAACTAATATTTTTTTTCATGCCATGCGTGATTTTGGAATATATCTTCATTTCTTTCTATTCATACCTGCTTTGATGCACACAATTTAAACAAACTCCTCATTCGTCAGATGTGGTTTGTGTAAGATCATGTCATAGATGCATCACTAGTCATGCCAATCCGCGACATTTGCCCGAGGAAAGGCATTTTTTGACTCATGCTTACAAAGAAAGAAAAAAAATTGATGAGAGACATGCACGTGCAACCAATCCATCAACCTGTAAAGTGTTTCGTGTTTGGAAGTATGCATAAAGGCATTGATATCATGAATAACTTGAGCTATATCATCTAACGCATTGATAAAGAGCACGAAAGTAACTTTTTTTTGTTTTAGCCTAAATATATCATGTATAATAACAAAGATTTATTCCAAAAACACTAAAGAGATTCATAAAATCATTAAAAAATATGATTCATCAATAAGAGTTATATCCACAATAAAACTTCAAACTTTATTCAATTGTGTAGTTGAAAGCTGTCATGAACGCCTTTTTATAATGACAATATTATTTACCTAATAAATTACAATTAAGATAATATTAATTATTCAAGATCCAAGTTAATTCATAACAATCTTAACATTGATTATATCTCTTGGAATGTTTCATCTTTATCACCAATATGAAAAAATCATGAAAAAACATAACAAATGTCTCTGCAAACTAAAGCTAGATAGATAAAAGCCGATGTTTAAACATAATTAAAAAAGCCATATATAAAGAGAATAAGAACTGATGTTAAATTCTATTTTTGCTTCTTATGCAAAATCATTTTAGATAACAAAATATCTTCAAAAACTTGTTCAAAAATAATTTTAAACAATGCATCTACTACATTGAGTCTATTATTAATTTCAAATTTTCCATTTAAAATTTCAATTCTGATACATTAATACATAATTTTGATATTATTTATTTTATTATTTATTATTTATTATGTTGCAAAATGTAATGCGGCAATTATTACAATTAAGAAAAAACAATTTCATTTTAATCCTATTTAAGTAATAAATTTTCAACCAACTAGTTTTTTATGATAGTTTTATTGTCGATATATAATACTTACGGTGTTGACTAAACTAAAAATTTTGGAAATTACATATTCAATTTATGCATTAATGACTAAGTGTAATTTCTAGTGAAATTGTACATGTTTCCTTGTTAAGAGTTTGTTCATAATCAAGATCAACATAATATAACAAGGATTTGACGTTATCTAATAACATATGAATAAAATTTAAAATTCTTTGTTTTAAGATACATCAAAATTCATTTAACAACTTTTCAATGCACTCATATTATCATAGCTAGAATATTTTAAGATCTAGATAGATTATTCAATATATTAGTCTAACTATTGCTTTTTCATACAACATTAATAACATTATTTTTTTATAAGATCAATTGCATATTCAATTGCAAATATCTTAGAATGTGCAGTAAAAAAAACTCAATTTTTTGATAATTTTTGATGTTATTTTTTTAATTACAATTTTAATGTACTTGAATTGAATTAATGTAGAAAAATTATATGTAAAAATTACATAGTTAATTTTTTGTGTTTTTTGTCAAATTTGATTAAAAAAATTAAAAATTAAAATAAATAAAAATCTAAATAATATCATGTCAAATATTATCAATGAAATAGACTTATAAATTAACATATATTGAATAAATTATTATAATTTAGAAAAGTTAAACTTAAAGAAAATCTGATTCACATTTGACAAAATTTTGATTGTTTTAACATTATTTGAAAATTTTGCAATTGTTACAATGAAGTAAATGTTGTTAAAAAAACAATAAGCTTGATACTTTGATTTCAAAATGTTGAGTATCATCACATTCAAAGTATATATTTATTAATCAATGATTATGAAACCTTCATGTATTAATAAAATTTTTTTGCAAGATTGCAGAAAGAAGTATTGTGAAATGAAAGATAATCCAACTGGATAAAAAAATAATCCAAACTATTAAAATACAACATTTTGGACAAAATATTTGATGTATAATAATAATTGCTAATTTAATGATTTAAGTTGTTGTGCAAATACATATCGCCATATAGTCTACTGACATGCTACTGACATACGCACACGACACGAGAGCTTACACATTCAAATGTATCACAACTGAAAATACGTGTTTTTTCCCATTGGAAAATACGTCGGTCTAATTACCCCACTAGCAATAAAACCGTCACATACACAAGTTAAGCCCAACCCACTCCAAAGAGACTCCAGGTCTACGCTTACGGGCAGTCGCTCTACTCCCAACACAAACAGGCTCGACCCAAAGAACTGACGTTCTTCGAGTCGTCGTCGACACTATATCCTCAGAACTAAAACCCTAGCTCAACATCTATATTTAGTATATATGGAAATACATGACAAAATCGTTTGTTTTTTGTTTTTTGCCCATGGAAGACCTTCTTGCACTTTTGAATACATTTCTTTCTTTATCCTACACATACATGTATAGAAAGTGTCTTCTCATCATTTTGCACTCTTCAATATATAAACAACATTGCTTTTTACTCTATTCAAAATTCTACAGCTCCATGACACGATAACTTCAATGCACACAAATGATTTCTCTCTCTTTTCTTATAGTTGGTACATGGTTTCGTGGCACGGTTGACGAGGCTGCAATTTACTAAACATTAATTTACACTATTACCTCTACATTTTACTCTAAAAGATAAATATAGTGGGTAACCCTGAAAGATTAACCGGTAAATGTAACTTTGAAACCTTTAAGAATCCATACCAGGTAACGGGTAATTACCATGAGGTAGAGATAAAGGTAGACAATAGTGGTAAATGTAACTTTTAAACCTTTAAGAATCCATACCAGGTAACGGGTAATTACCATGAGGTAGAGATAAAGGTAGACAATAGTGGTAAATGTAACTTTTAAACCTTTAAGAATCTATACCAGGTAACCGGGTAATTACCATGAAGCAAAGATAAAGGTAGACAATAGTGGCGCAATTAAGGTAAAGGTCCATGCGTTAACCGGTTACCTTGCCGAGGCCTGATCAATATTAGGATTTTTGTTGATGATTTCTCAGTCAGTCTGTTCCTTTTCCACAGTTCTGCCAGCTCCTACTACGTAGGCGGATCTCTACTGAGTTAGTTGTAAATTTTCTTCACTCAGTCGTTTGCACTGTACAATCATCCCCGAAAGCATTATACTTAATGACATTTCCCCCGATATTCGTTAGGCCCTTGTGAGGCCCATCAGATACAGGCTTTTATTGCTAAAAACTTTGAAACCTGCTTGTTCAGTTATTTCGCACAACCTTTTCATATGCTTCTATCGTGAAACATTTCCTCCTGAAATATGGTTCAAGTTGCGAGCGGAGGTCATCACTCTCAATCACAAACAGGAAAGTTGGGTACTCACTCCAAAACTTCCACAGGGCCTCGCAAGGAGGAAGAGGGTGAAGCCCTCTCGAGTGCAATCTTGGTTGGTCAGCCCTCTTGAGTTTTGGGTTTTATGGCCGATTCGAGCTAGCGCACCACTTTTGGTCAAGCGTAGGTCTGTTTTTATTTAAATCCACATACAGCTGGACTTTGAACGCAAGGAGTAATGTATCTATCAACGTGGTCTTGTTGGAACGAGCCCTTCGATACTCATAATGTCGTTAAAAATCTCGAATGCCAGGCATTGTTATGGTTGAGCTTGAGACAGTGCGTTCGATTCCAGCCAGAGCTGTTTTCTTTTGATTTTATTTTATTCTCGTTGAGTCCGCGATGATTTCTTCGACCTTTCGTCAGTCAGTCCCTTTTCACATATATGATTATCGTAGCTCCTTCCCATTCTGCCTTTCCACGTGGTCGGCCTACCAGCTAACGCTCCTGAACATGCTCAGAAGTCGTTGGTCAACGAACTGGTTGTTTCACCAACTGAAGAAATTTGGCTCGCAAAGAGCGTCGGTTTTCTCCCGGTCACATCATCCCCCCTGGACATTAGCTGCCGATTTGGAAGAAGGAAACAAAAGGTTGCCCGATGAAGGAGGGGATAGATTGGGCCACTTATCCTCAGTGTCATGATAAAACGAACATGGTCTATTGTTTTCTTCTAGATTTGTACCGCAAGCTACACATCTTCTCGAGCAGTCCTGCGACACAAGCGTTCACGTACGATTGAACCCACAGCTCATTACCACGTAGGGATTCACCACAACCTGCACATCCATCAACCATGAAGAGAAAGGAGAGGATACAGGTCTCAGCTGGCGATGGGAGAACGTGAGCAGGGACTACAAGTTCATGGGATTGACCAGACATAAGACATTTTTTGTAAGACAAATGAGGATGGTGGTGATAAACATTGTTCCTGCTCTCGACTTCGTCTTTAATGAAGGTACGCATCTCGTTTCCCCGAAATATTATAGGTTCTAACGCCATCAAGCCAAACTTGATGGCGTTGGAACTTTCTTCTTCACTTTCGTTTGTGGTGGGAAGCAGCAAGAGACAGATATCTCACTGCTTTGAATGTTCGCCTCGATGTTCGCCTCCCCCAATTCCCGCCTTCTCATCCACGAACTACTTTCAAGAGGGGCCGTCGCTTTAGAGCCTCAGATTGGACGAAGAAGATGCAACGTCGACACTGGTCGAAGATCTGTGTGTGATCGACTGGGTTGTGTGACTTAGAATGACCAACTCAGGGACTACCTAAAGTTTGGCAGATGGGAATTTAATGCTTCGCACCTGATAAAGCACCTCTATGTGGGAGCTGCATGGTGAGGGGGGGAGATCCCGGACACGATTGCTTTGTGGTGGAAAACCTAAATGATAGCTGCCGACCGTAAGAGCACATCTGTTACAGTCATCTGCCATAGCTCTTTTTCGTTAACTTCCAACTTCATATCTCGGAACGAGACAAAAAAATCGACTTATCTGGGTGCCTCACCTCCTCATAACGCGGAGGGATGTCGAGAAACCGAGATCTGCACTATCTCCAAAAGTTCGCAGTAATGAATGTGGGCTTTCGACGGCTCGTTGCAAAGTTTGACTGGTGACTGGTGCGTAGAGAGAGGTCACACGTATATGAATACGACATTGCATGCACAGCACAGCACAGGATCCTCCGCTCTCTGAGGGTTCGGCAGGCCTCCTTGTCCGGCCTGACTGCCCTGCGAACATACTTGGGCCGACAACCCGTCGAAAGGAACACATTCAATTGGACAGCGCAGACGAGCGAGCAAGGAAAAAATTACTGCGGCTTTACTCCTCGTATCGTGCTCGACGGCAAATACTGTCCGTAAGCATCACATGAAGAGCTCTGATCGAAATCTCCGATTTCAGACGCAGCATAGGATTAATTAGCTATAATGGGTGAAAATCGTAGGCTAATATTGCGGCCTAAGGACGAGGTGTGTTCGTTAAACGTCGTCGAGTACACTAATCTCATCCCCGGAGATAACTCCCCCGACCAATGGGTCAAAAAATGGATGCTGCACAAGATCCTTCGACCTGCCGGAAACAGCGATCACGCGGTATGCTATACTCGTGCCGTCGTCCTGCCACGGTCCACGGGTTCGTTCATGAGAACAATATGATTCAAGCTTGCTGGCATTTCAACTCCGTCGCTGAACCGTAGCCGCCCCATGCCAGATCGTGGCATACACACCCTTCTTTACGCTTCTAAGCGCATGTCAAGCCTGTCATTCTGTACACACTCCGCAGAACCCATGAGAGCCCTCCTACAGGGCAGGCGGTGATGCCTTCCCTCTTCAGATACTTGCCTTGCCTGCCACCAAATATTCCATGCATCAGCTGCAGGCAGGCAGGCTGCTCGATGCTCCAAACGAATCGGGCAAATCATCAAATTTCTGACGACTCTGAAGCGCTTGTGGAGCGTACCACTACAGAGTGGTCGTGTGGTAAACGTGGGCTGGCAGTCTCGGGGTGGCTTCGACTTTCAGGGGTATGCTGTTGCGCAGCACGAGCAGATAGCTCTCGGAGATGCTCGCCTGGGGCTGTGGAGCGAAGTCGAACGAGTGCACCAAAGCGGCGAGTGTTCGCTGCACCATCGTCATGCCCAGAGCGATGCCAACGCATTTCCTGCGGCCGGATCCGAACGGGACCAGCTGGAAGTCGTTGCCGACCAAGTTGATGTTGCTTCCCAAGAATCTGTCGGGGTTGAACTCCAGAGGTCGGTCCCAATATCGTTCGTCGTGAGCCATAGCGTACGTGTTGACAAAGATTGTGCATTCCGGAGGGATGTAGAATCCCCCCAAGCTCGACGCGCTCTCGTTCAGGCGAGGGAGAGTGATGGGTACTGGCGTGTGCAGGCGGAATATTTCTTTCACGAACGCTGTCAGATATGGCAGCTGGGCCACGTCCGCCTCCTCCACTCCCCTCTCCTTTCCGACCAGGGCGTCCACTTCCTCCTGCATTCTCTGCATCATGAGAGGATTGCGAACGATCTCCACCATACACCATTCTAGAGTTGTCGCCGTCGTGTCCGTTCCTCCTAACACCATGTTCTGCACAGCACACAACATGAGTCGCTGCCTGGCACGTTTTCCCGAACCGTGAGGATGAAGAAGCTATGCCTACTCACGTCCAGAGACGCACGCACGAGACCATAGACGAGCCAAAACTAGTGCATGCAATTCACCGACGCATTCTGGAGGGTCATACATACACTGAGGAGTGCAATGATAGCTTTGTCCGAAAGATTGTCCGAGGCTTGGCACGAGAGCAACACGTCCACGAAGTCGTCCTTGTCGTCCTTGAGGGTCTTCCCTTCGATGCGACGGAGGCGATGCTCCTCGATGATTAGACCGAAGAGCTTCTCGCAGCGGCCTCGAATTTGTTTCCACTTCTTGTTGATTCCTTGCAGATCAAACGGCCGCATGCACCACACGAGATCCGCCAGGTTTAGCCTTCCCACATTGTCGAAGACGTCGATGATCAGGCTCTTGAAGTTATTGAGCTCGGCTGTGACAGGCACGTCTTCCCCGTAGTACCGTTTTCCAAACATCATGAGGCACATGATGTTCATGGTCAAACTGTGGAAGTACTCCCTGACTTCGATGGCCTCTCCCTTCTCGGAATACTTCCGGAAATTCCCAAGCAAAACTTCCAGCTCTCCTGTCCGGACCTGCAAGGAGAAGCAATAACTTTAGTCTTCACCATCCCTCGCTCCACAAGTGAAGCTGCTGCTGCTCGCACTACTCCACTCCACTCCACTCATCACTTGCCCCGCACAAATCATACACTCCGCTAACAGACATTTAACAAGCTCAACGATCATGCATTTGCAGCAAGGAGCTCGGTCCCCCACCCACATACAGAGGATGTTTGAACAACGACAGGGAACATTCTTCACCGTCGGGACCACTTGAACTGACGCGTACGTTGTCGTCTAACAAGGTGAAAGAGAAGATTATCCGGAGATCAGATGGAAATCAGAGTGTACCTTGGCGGAGGCATGGAGTCTAGAGAGAGTGAAGAGCTCGGACGTGCAGAGTTTTCTGAGCATTCTCAGATGGGGATTGTACTCAGAGAACGCAATGTCCATGGAATCGAAGCCGACGTATTTCGCAGCGCTGCGTTGGATAGTTCGGCCGGATCTATGACAGAATTCAGAGTCCCGTTTCCTCATGAGCTCTTCGGCGATATCGGCGCTTGATACGACGATCAAGGTGTACTGTCCTAGCCCGACTCGCATCACATCGCCATACTTTTTGGACAGGCCCCACAGAGCATGGTGGAGCTCCCCTCCGAGATAAGCCAGCGAGCCCAGAACAGGCCAAACAGGAGGTCCGGGAGGTAGCTTCTTGCCAACAAAACGCAAATAAGGCATGGACATGAGCCAAGCAGCTGCTGCAAACAGAAAAGCCAGCCAGACCCTCGGTTGCGAGCTCAGCTCGAAAGCCACCGATCCCAATCGCTGCCCAATGTCTACGATATCCATATTAAAGTTCGACATGCCGCCCCCGCTGGTTCGAATGAAAACTGGCTAGCAGCACGCAGCTTCACGCTGTCTGATGCAGTCTGCACAAGAGCAGCAGCTGCGACTCGGGGCCTTGCTTAGGCTGCGAATCAAGCACTTGGAAGACTGTTCGAGTGCGTATTCGCGACAGCTGCCGAGGCTACCGATGATTGACAGTTGCAAGAGTGTGACGATGTTCACTGTTCCTGCTGGTATACCATGCTGAAGTGGAAATGTGCGCTGAAATTACGGCGAGATCAATCGTCGAAGGTCAAGTGAACTGCGCCGGTAGGGTCCGAATGAGAGTCAAGCATCCTAGCGACTGCAGAAGGCTCTGCAGTAATAAGTACGAACGCAGAATCGAACCGGACCGAAGTTGGTGGAAAGTGACCTGCCTCCGTTGGTTGGATCGATCGTTCGTTCCACGCACTCTTAGTCTTGTCTGCTGAAGGCTGCAGACAGTAAACCTTCCCACCAGCCAGCGCAAACACCAGCACGGGAGTCTGGGAGTGAAACCGAGAAGGGCTGTTCGATAGTACGCACAATCTTCAGTGGAATCCCTCATACATATGATAATAGTCGACAAGACAAGCTGCTGCTCACATTTGCAAGTGACCGGGGCCCGCCTCAGCTCTGAGAGGTAACAGCAAATCTTCGCAAGGAGCCTGATATAGTGGTGAAAAAAGCTATGGCCCCGCGGTCGACACAACTCCTCTGCTCTCCTGCTCTAATGTGGAATGTTAGGAGCAATGATCCAATCTCCTCATCCTGCTCTACAGTGGATTGTTTGGAGCAGAGATCCCAAATCTGTTCATCCTGACGTGACTTCACTAGCCTCCTGCTAATGCATGGAGCGTCTGAAAGTCGTCTTTCTGCCGACTCTGAGAAAAAGTAGCAATGCCTCTGAAACTAGGACCTGGATGATAGGTCCAAGAAGCGGCAGCGAAGTTCTGTAGACTCTTGATTGCTGCACATCACACTCCTAGCTTTAGTTCAAGGTGCCAAAGCTCGGTTGTGTGCCTGCGCTTATTCCAGAAGAGCTGCTTACGCATTCCATGATTTGGAATCCGATGGACCCTTGATGGGCTCACGGGTTTGTTTTTCCTCACTCACTGGCCTCGTTAAGTCGTTGTCCTCGATTTATCAGCGAAGCTCGGGATGGCGAGCAATGAGGTCAGTCGCTCAGGCAGGGAGTATCGGCACCAGCTGACCGACACTGACTCTACACTATATATGAGCAGGACCCTTGTACGGGACAGTAAAAACAGCAGGAGCTTGATTATGAGGGCGTGACTAGCACCACCATGGTTGATGATGATGACGATAATCACATACGGTTTCGCATTAACGGGTGAGGTGCTGGGAACTGAATACTGGAGCAGCGTACACTGGTACGAATGAGGAGAAAAGGCGGGCAGTGCCGGGCATCCCTGAGTCTGGACTCGGGGGTAGTTCGCATCGGAAGGCTGGAAGGCAGCTACATACGAATCACTGACTGCACCGTACATCGTCTGATGGAAGGGCGAGAGAGTTCATGCACGACACGTGCGGACGGATGTACCTCTTCATGACACATCGAGTACAACAGCACAGCCATGCAAAGCGAAGCCTTCGTAGAATTTCTGCTGTAAATGTGTCTGACTTTCATTCTGTCGCACCAATTCCATCACAGCCGTGCCGACTCCCATTCTTACACTTCTTACTTCGGTCCAACTTTCTCGACTACGGCGTGGGGAGGTTTCGGAACCGCACTTTTCCATTGTGGATCGATTTTTCCGTAATCGAATCCCGATGATGACAACGTGTTGTCGATCAGAGAAACTTCTCTGCACGTTAAATCGTTACATGGTTGACGATGTGAAGGTTACCTTGTGAGTCACGTCATGTGTGTTGGCAACGGTCTCCCGGCAAAGTGTGTAGTGTAGGCGCTACTGGTTGTTAGGTAGTTAGCAACATGAGTGCGATGGTATTTTTCATCGATGAGTGGTTGAGGGTATGTTTCCCGTTAGGTTTTCTTATACCTCAGGCATTTTTATATCAGTGGGGTCAGATTGTTATGGAAAGTAAGCGATGGACAAGTATATGTGAAGACCACATCGATGACTTAAAACAAAGAAACTTAACCTATAAAAGCTCTCTGTACTCCACTTTGTAATGAACCAAAATCTCATGGAAAAAACACAAGTGAAGTAATGACCATGCATCTTATTTATTAAAATTTCGAACCAAAAAATGTTCTTAACAACATAAGCATCTGAAGGTGATTCATTTTCTTTTTTATAGCACTATGCAGTGCACTTCATAAAACGACAGAAGATCATTTTGAAAATGAATTACATAATATGGCATACACAGAGATGAGCATATTGTCTAATATGATATATTTTCATGCATTGATTCGCAAATCATAATCTGTGAAAATAGCTCCAAATAATAGCTCTCGCGAGTGACAAGAATTTGAACTCTTGCATACGCTCCAAACGTTGAATACTACAGATGCCAACGATGTCACACAGATAGTTTTATTTCAAAGCTCATAAACGCCTAGTCTTAAACAAAAAATCACTCTGCGTATATAATTTTTTTTTCAAAAACATTTGTTTCTCTTTATTCTTTTCCAATTAAAGTGTTTGAATTTCTTCAGTCCAATATGGGATGATTGTGGTTTATTGCTGATCACTTTTAATTGCTTTTTGAATTTTTTTGGATAAAAATTTCAGTTTTTCATCTTTCTTTCTCTCCGTAGAAATCCATCAATCATGCCCAAATTCACAAAATGTAATGCAAGCAATTCTATTTCAATTTCATTTGATATATCGAACCATCATTTAGGTTCATCAATAAAATCATCCATTATTCAACTTTCAACCTTATATTTTTATCCCAATACATCTTACATAGCCAAATGTGTAGGTCTTGTATCAATTTCCTAATTACGAGTACAATCCTACAACTTTAGATTTTAATTATTTTTAAAAAAAAATTGGCAGACATCAGTGTACTCAATATTTTAGAACATTATTTTCGGGACATTATTCATCACTGCGCTACTTGTGTGAATTCAAACAACAAGTCTGTAAAGCAACGTAAATCCAAAAAGGATCCGGAACAACCTTACTTCTAAGCCATTTCTAGAAGATGTACTAGCAAATTGACCTTCATCTAATACTCAAAATCATCTAAATGAATCAAACCATTCAAGTAGACACAAATTTCAGTTGTAACCTCTCTTGTGATCAATAATCTAAAATGATGATCTAAAATTCTCTTATAATAATACACACAGTATTGAAAAAAAATTATAGCTCATAATTAACCTTGAAAATATTTTCAAAATTAACATTTTTTTGTAGTTAATTGATTCCAGAAACATGTTAACTTATCACAAGAATTTATATATGGATATACTAGCGAAACATGATAACTTTTTATTGTTCGTACAATTTGAAAATTAAAAATCTATCTAATTTAAAGACCTAAAAAATTCATAATTTATGTCTTATTTGAAAAATGTCTATTTTTACCTATCATTCATCCAAAACATTCATTATGTCTTGAAACATATAAGTAAAATAATGTAGTGATAAAATAAATAAAAAATCTTTTATTCTTCTTGGTCGATAACCTTCAAACATTTATGTCAAATGTTCTTCTGAACACAACGGCGAGTTTTTCTATTTTACTTGCATGATATTTATTATATTTTAATAAGAAAAATGGAAAACATCCATCAATGTTGAAATAATTGATTTCAACATTGATATTTTCTCGAATTCTATTCTTTTCATTGTATTTCATCACGACATGATTCATCACCTTCCTTGCGACTATTCGTCACAAGGACAAGTTTATACAGAGAGAATATATGTGATCTTCTTCTTTTATATTCATCATTCAAATTCTCAGAGCACCATGACATTGCAGGACGCAAGTGCTAGACTCTATAGCTTTGCTTTTGCTACGATGGTGAAGTTTATTATATCGCTAGACGCACAATAAATGTCTCCTTTAAATTTAGCGTTACTCTGCGTTTTATAATATGAGCCTGCCATCCCTGTCCCGTCGTGAAGTACTTTCCGGTTGCACGCACCATAAATAGATGACGTCACATCCACAGCGAGAGCAAGTCTGCGACTCGAGTAGTGTTTGCAGAGTGGTCATCGTGTAGATGAGTAGGAGCCAAGGCGCTTTCCCAGGCTGAAGGCCGTAGCATTTTTCAGTCGTGCAATTGGCCTACAGAAAACGAAAGGTAAGTAATGACGACTTATGCTTCGACTTACGATGTAGTGAATATCGAGATGTATCAAGAACACAAGATGAAGATTGATTTGTGATTTAATGGCGGCGATCTGACCAAGATTGAGTTGATGAGCAGATTGCATCAGAGTCACATGTAGATTATTAATGGGCGACCGACGACCACAGTTCTCGCGGCAGGCAGCAACAACTGCATAGTGCACACCTGACTCGACGAGTCTGGCCCATTAACTCTGCCTAAGCAGTCAAAGAGAAGAACGAACGTACTTCAGCATGCTTGCTAAATCAACGACAGTACTGTGGTGATATTATTGCATAGTCAAGTCTGAAAGCCCTGTGTCTGTGTATGACAATTTTGACCGTGGTATTCAAAATGCGAAAACTGTCTACCCTATGTTAGTATTTTCAGAGTCAACAGAGAAATACTGTAAGTACGAGTGTGAACCTTCGGTGTAAATAATTCCTTGTAACGAACACTTGCTGGACTCCCTGAAAGTCAGCTTTCTCATTAGTGGGTGGGCACTGGGGAATGGCTGGTTCATTGAAAGGCGTTGAGCCACTCGAGATCTAGGCGTGTAAGAACTTTCCTCGCACCTTAAGGAGATATTTTATAACACATCTGTTTTTTATCTTCCAAACGAAACTGAAGTATGGAAATTATTGTATTAATCTTTCAGACCTTCTAAGCCACTACGTTATACAATAGACCCTACCATTTTCACACCCACATGATAAATTCGATTAAGCACGGTCTCTATTGCATTTTTTTACTTTGAAAATTTAATTCTGATCTCTGAACTCTTGGGGTGTTACATCATTTGGGATGTATTAGTTGAATTGACGCACATAACTTCTTAACTTATTCCAACTCAAAATCAGAACGTGCGAGTTATATTGATCGTCGAAGCAAATCCTATTGAGAACGATTGTAGTGAAACACAGATTGAATGTAAGATTACATATCGAACTTCGACCATATTTTCACTCACACAATGAATTTATTGCCTTTAGGATGACAGAAACAAACAAAAATGACAAAAATTCAAAATAAGCACATTTGATTTGATATATTTGATTCTTGGAAAACGTACGTTCTTCATCCAATCTATAATCATTTTTTGAAAGAAACAGTGAATGATCTTTATATGTATGTATAAAAAGTAATAGTAAATTTTTTGATAACATTGTTGCTTCTCCAACATTCAAATTTCAAACATTTTTAAATTTTTCAAATAGGATAACTTTTGATCACAAGGTGTTTATGTAAATATTTTAATCCAATTTATCTCAAATGAAATGAAGTCATATGCTTTAAATTCTACGTCAATTATAGAAAAAAATAATTTTTTTATTTGCGAATAAGAAACCATTTGATGAAAGAAATGGTAATTTTTTTTACGATACATTCTTCTCACTTAGATTAACAAAATATTTTCTAGCATTCAATTATTTTCTGTTTCTTGTTTTTAGATGCAGAAAATATTGTTGGAAATTTTGAATTTTATTTCATTCAATACTATGTACAGGAATAAAAAAATAATTGCCATTAGCAGATAGAATTCTGCTATAAAGATTTTACAATCATCATCAAACCTTCATTCCTATAGTATACTTCGAATATGATAGATTGAATATTTCATTCACATATATTTCATTTTCTTACAAATTCTCAATGCTAGTATTATACAGGTTGAACTACATCTAATTATGTAAGTTTAGTTTTTTACTATTAGTATGAATCTCTGTAAAACATATCAAATTTTGTAACCCAGTGCATAAGATAAATTGTATCAAATCAATAAGATTTTCTCATTTGACTGGGTTAATTTTATTTAAATCGAATTGAAAAAATCATTCATCATTTCAAGTGGCTTTTTGATCAACAAATGTCCTATTTGGTAAAAAAATGTTTGTTAAATTTTACATTTGTAACAACAAGGTATATCAATTTTTGTGTCTTTTCAACTGGACAATTAAACTCAGAAGATATGGTACAATGAATAATTCAGAAACTAACATTTTCTAGATTTTTTAGTAATTACTGGAATAGATAAAAAAACATCGCAAAAATATAGATTTTTTGGGTGAAATAATATTTTTTTGATGAATTTATGTATATATATATATATATATATATAATTTGAATATATTTTAAATGTGTACTTCCAACATTGTATCATCCAGTTCTTAACATTTCACAATGCATGTTTTGAAGATGCAATTCATGCATATGCAAAATATTAATTAGCAA